GAGCATTTCTGCCCATCTAACTAGAGTGTCTCAGAAGATGAGGGAAGGAGGCTGAAGCTGTTGGGGGATACCTTGCATCCTGGTCTCTCCAGTCTTCTCCTCTCTCTTCCAAGGCGCCTTCTTTGACTTTGCTAATCTCAGAGAGCAGTCACTATAGTTGTTTTCATGCCAGCTGTAAGAGGCAGGGGAGGGAACCAGAGCTCGTATTCTCAGCTCCAGAGTCAAAGAGCTGCCTCCAGCCTCAGTGCTGAGAATCCAAACCATCCTAAGGCCCCTCCAAACCTGACTAGAGGGCATGCAATGGGTCCTCAAGGGTCTAATCCTATGCGATTAGACTCACTCTTTAGGAAGTTTGTTTACAATTGCAACTCAGAAAACAAACATCCCTATCATGTAATTAAACAGCAGCAGTAAATTTGGAAACACTTTATACTACTAGTATACTATGTTATTTCAACATCATAAACAGCAAGTGTCATGAATACTATAAATAAACACTACTTCCCATCTTTACTTATGCATTTGATTTATTTCTCCTCCTAGTGAACAATATATCTGAAAAATAATAGCATAACGAAAGTTATTGCCTGTAACATAATTACTGTCTGAAAAATTCCTAATTTCTTATTCTTCACTTCCACTTTGAGCTTCATAAAAGGTTTGCTTCTAGAGAAGTCAGCATCTCAACAATTTTACATTTTAGTTTATTCCTTGATTATGCGACTGTACTGTCAAGCATTCATCAATTTATTTTACCTCATGCAGAACACAAATTATTTATATAGATGGATACAATTCTTAGTACCTAAACATGTTCAAAGAAACACACACACACACATGTATTTGTATATCTTGTGTTGTTTCCTTTTCTATTGCATGATGTATTTTGTAATAGGATTCTTTTCAAAAATAAGAGAGAAAAATTCTGCATTGTCTTCAAAGATAAATTGCTAATTAATGTTTTAATGATGACAGATATAGGAACACCTTCTTCCCTATGTGCCCTCCTGCCCCTTGAGATCTGAGGTGGAGGTCCTGCTCCGGGAACCTTCCCTGAAGGAGATGAGGAGGGAGGATACCCGGAGGAGGGCCTTCTCTGTGGTGGCATCCTGACTATGGAATATGCTCTCCAGAGAGGTTGGGCTGGCACCAACATTATATTCTTTTCAGCGTTAGGCAAAACTCTTTTTTATTTTCCTGCTATTTTAATGTTTAATTGATTTTAACTTGGGTTTTAGTATATTAATGGTCAGGTGCTGTGGGGTTTGTTTTATACTGTTCATTTATTGTAGCCCATCCCAAGAAGTTTGCAGGGGACAGAATAGAAATAGAACTTTTGATAAATAAATAAATAAATAAATAAATATCTGCCCAAATAAATCCCCTAAAGCTTCTACATTGTTTGACACCAAATTTAATAAAAATCAGAGCATTGGTGTGTTTTTTGCAAAGTTGTGATCCTTACAGAATGGGCCAGCACTGTTACTAGCCTTAACAGAGGAAAGCCTCCACTGGTATTAATGGGAACTTATTTTCTGAGGCTCCTAGCTATGGGGTGGGAGTAATTTAGCATTGCACCTAGCTTGACTCACTCTTCTCTTTCATCACACAATCATTATTTCTATACCAACAACACAGGGTAAAAATAGGGCATGTGTTCACTGACACCTCGAATTTTTTAAAGGCCTTTGCAAAAGACATCTTCCGAGTACCTCAGTGAGTCTGTCTTCTCACACACATTATCACTACCTGCTATTGCTACGCATACTGTTTCTTATCATTGCTATCCTTAGCTTACTTGCCAGAATGCCAGAAGGCTGAGGCATGTACCCCTGTTCTGTCTCACCTCCACTGTCATCAGGAACAGGGCAAGCAGGCTGCAATCATGAGGATCAGCAATTTGGGAAAGGGGTCTTCGTCAGTGAGTCCCTGCTGCAGCCTTGCAACAGGCGCCCGACTATGCCAATACCTGATGCCAGTCCCATGTGCTCGGCAATTGCCCTTCCTTCCAATCTCTCTGCTTCTCTCATGAGCTCAACAGCAGCACGATTTTCCAGCAGCTTATCTATTGTGGGTTCTAGTATCCACACAGGGCACAGCAGTAAAGCTATCCTTAAAACTTAGCATAAGTAAGAAGCTATCGCAAATCCTTGCTCTCTGATGTGAAATGCATTTTGCAACACATTTATCTCATTCACCCGCTGAGCTGTTATGCTTTGTAACTGCGCATCTAAAAATGTAATGTATGAATTGGTTGTGGGAGATTTGCATAAGCAGAGAGGTGCTGAGCTTGGCTGGCTTGTTACAGAAGGCAGGAAAAATGGCTAGTACTAGGACATGTCTCTCAATCCCAGAAACAGAGAAATAATGAAGAGCGTAACATACTCATAATGCAGGTGATAATGAGAATTCTTCTCCAGTTAGTTGGCTTGTGATGGCCAGAGCACTTCCAACAGAAGTAGAAATGAGCCACAATGAATAGGTATCTGACATTCCTCTGGGGAGGCACGGGGGCTGGGGGGTATAAACAGCAAGCAGTCATGAAGTAGGAGCTGATGTAGCTGAGAGAAAACTAGGAAGCTTTGCCCTACTTGCCAAACTCTGCAGGAGTTACTACAGAAGTTCAAGCACCACCATACTTGAGCTCACTTTTTGGCAGCATAAGAGGTTTAGATACAGGTTGCCCAGTTTAAGTAACTCAAGAATCAGATCTTAGTTCTTTCTCTTGTTGGCCTGTTTCTGGTACGGTAACAAGACATATGAAAAAACACAGATTTGTCTACAGCAGCAACCATTCTGCACAGCACAGCTTGCTATTCTGTACAGAAATGGCCAGTCACATGGAACAAACTTCTCTTAACTTCCAGCTGCTAAAATCACATTGAGAGAGTAAATAATGCATTAAATGCTTTCACAATGTTGTTTTTCCATGGAAACTATTGTTGCTGTAACTATGCAGATACTATACAATGGAAAACACAGAAAAGAGGTATGCTCATAAGATCACTCAAAAAGTTAGGTGTGTTCTTGTGAAACACACTCCTTCAAAAGGTCTAGGCTCTTTGGTATTTTCACGTCATGAAAGATGCTATCTTAATCTGACTTGACTTACCTGGAAATAAGCCATATTGAAATAAATGTTTACTTATGAGTGCACACCTGCATAGACTTGTAATATAATTTGATAGCTCTAACCATTTTTATTCAGTAGTCTTCCCACTGATTTCAGTGAGTCAGAGCAATTGCTTCTTATGTGCCTTTACATGGAAATAAAGCCCATTCAACTATGCGGAACAAGCACACATGTACAGATCAGGTTGTATGTGTGCCCAAACACAAAAACCTGCTGCCAAAAGCCAATAACAATTACACAACATTGAGTTTGGTAGCATTTACTTCCTACTACATTTGTTAGGATTGCATTCCTGGAACTGCAAGGGGAAAATGGATAATCATCACAAGCTTTACAAGGCAAGACCTTCTATACACAGACATATCCAGAATGCAATTTTCAATTATTTTCCTGAACACTTCCATATAAATATTTTTACAAAATGAGCAGTCTCCTGCTGCTGAACAGTATTTACCATTAGGAGAGTTAAGCCTGTATGACTTAGATTTGTTTCCCATGCATCGCATCTACTTAACCTGTTCAGTCACTTAGGAGTTTGTCCTTTTAAAAAGCCTATAAAAAGGAGGTGGAATTAAGTTGTTCTGGAGAGAATGGAAGGGGAAAGAAGAAAGGGAGTTCCTAAATCCACACCTGATCTTATTACATTACTATATTGCTCAACAGCCAGTTCCACAACAATTAAAATACTACAATTCAACACAATAAACATTTAAAAGTTTGCAAGTGTAAGGAAACTAAGACAAAGAACTATGGTCTCTGAGTGTTTCTTGCCTGCCCTCAATGGAGTAAGCTGACTATTCCTCTGCCTTTTTAAAAGCATCTTTATAAATATGTGAGGACTACAAGCCTATTGACACTTGTGAGGTAGTCCCACTGGATTCTGTGGAAATTCTTCCAAGTTAGCTATAATAAAATTATGTTCAAGCTCACATTAAAGGGTTTGATCAAACCAACATTAAGCAAGCCCTCCTAATTCTTGCTTAGAGGACTAAGGACATACTTTATTCCATTACTGAAATTGATGCAAGTTAAAAGAGCTTAATTTTGATGGGGCCCTGTCCAATGAATTTAAAGAAAAATCTAATTGTTTCTGGTATGGATCTCTTTAAAAACTGATATTAAATATTGCTTATAGTATACCTTATACTATATGCACACAAGAATACACTATTTGCTAGTGACCATACAGCACAGTGGCAAAACCAGATAGCCTGCCACTCCTCTTAGAAGTATTACAGGTTTTATAAAATACAAAATAACAGCCATTACAAATGTGCTGCCTGAGACAACATACGCTGTAGAGTGTAAATACCTGAAAATAACATGAGCTAAAGCAGATATTTTGTTGAAGATTTAGCTTGCAGTATGCCTTTCGCTTTAATTCTAGTGTAGGCATAAGGGAGGCCAATCAGAACTGAGACCCTAGAAAGGAGACAGTATTCTAATGCTCCCCCCACCCCCCACCACACCCCAAACATACACGGCTCAATCCAAAGCAAGAAACCTTTATCTGCAGTTTCTATTGCAAGATATTGATCCATGAAGAAGTTGTTTTCTTTAGCATAACCCTACTCAGGGTCACGCTATGTACTACTCTTAGGCAGCCATGGGATGAGGTTTGTTACTAATCCCAAATTCCTAACATAAAAATAGAGGTGCCATCCACAGACTGAAAAAAGAATCAACATGGATATATCTTTACATCCCTAAATGCCCTTTGGAGTACCCAGTATCATCTATTTCCATGACCAGAAGCCTGTTGCCTTCAAAGTTGTTCTCCGGTCTTGTTTTTGCACAGTACACTTCCACAATGCAACAACCCCAGGCCAAATGTATAAATAAGACACTAGAGATTGCATTTACCCCAAATTACCTCTGGGTCATCCCAAGTGACCTGCCCAAGCTGTCCCATAAGATGTGTGCCATAGTTTTGCATATGGCCCAGTACTTTCATTTTAGTGCAAGACACTGGAAAGCATAATGACCCATCGTTAATAATCCCCAATGTGTGTAGGGAAATCATACAATAGACCATAGTAACCTACTTCAAACTAGCTATGTGTGAATAAGTAACACTGAAGTTCTCCAGATTCCACCTCCAAACTCATCCCAACTTCTCTTACAAGATTGCAAGTTTTTCTTATTTACTTGACAACTTATGCATATTTTCATGCACTTTTTCCACCAGTTGCACTTATTTGAGATACACACTTTATTTTCTTCCCACTGCTTAAAGCACATTCATGGGCGTTTTTTCCAAATGCAGACTTGCCCTGCTAATTTCTCAAATGGGCATATTTTTAGACAAATGTTTTTGTTCCACAATTGCATCACAAGCTCAAAAAACGTGCAAGCTTCAATCATAGTATGCATTTGAGTCTACATAGGCTTCTGGTACGTACGAACTAAATAAATTCTGGTCAAAACTGAATTCCTCTTACAGCCCTACCTCAACCTTAGTCCAAACTTTCGCAGTTCACAAAAGCTTGGGTTTTCCCCCTTCTTCTTTCTTTTAAATGGCATTATCCCTGTTTTTAAAAGTTCGGAAACTACTCTCCTATTTCTCTTTCCCATGATATGAACTGAAGGGAAGCAGCAGCTGTTATTGTACTTCTACCATTGTTTTCCTTTTGTTCTTGCAGTTTGCCGCTTCTGCCGCCACCCTTATTCTCACCGCTGGTTTTAAGCCGAGCAGTCCTTTTAAATCCCCCTTGCTGCTTTCTTTACATTTCCTCCACCCACAGGTGATGATGCAGTCTCGCAATAGCTCCGCCCCCTCCCCTTTACCCTCTCTCTCTCCCTCCCTCCCATTGGAAGGGCTAAGCTTCCCTTAGCCAGCCTGCCCTTATTTAATTTGAAGTGTGATTTTGCTATTTTTAGCTTCTGGATTCTCTCCAGAAAGACTTAAAGGGGTTTTTTCCTCTCTTCATTTTTTTTAATTCTGCAAATGATTTTGACCCAGCTTCCTTCCTCTTGGAACATTTTTTAAAAATTTATATAAATAAGAGGGGGCCTGTCTGCTCTCTCTCCCTCTTTTTTTTTTCCACTGCGAGTCTCTGCCTTCTGCTTCAGATCTGCATTTGCAACCATCAGCAGCCAGGAGGGGGGTTTATTTTAATTTCATCACAACACACAAGGAAAAAACATACACAGATTCGCGAATAAGAGCAATTGTAAGTTTCCGATTTCTTACCAAAAAAAAAAGTTTGCGTTAATTTTATTAGCATTTGCAATAATACTAATAATAATACGTTTTGCAAAGTCATTTTCAATTTGCCAAGAAAGGGGGATTTCGTCTCTACTCGTAATTTGCAATAGGAAGCAAGTAAGGCATGCGGAATAACGCACCCTCCTGCCTTTTATTCTCATCGTGCGTTGCAAATGGAGGAGGAGGGGTGTCGGGGGGGGGGTTCTTGGCACAGCTTGCTGGATTGGTGAAGGCAAACTGGCCTTGTAATTTCTAGATGGGGGGGTGACTCTGCCAGGCACTTCTCGGTTAACGTTAAATTCCAGGGCACTGGATCCAGATTTCATCGGGGTGGGGGTGAGTGGCTTCACGGCGTATCTGTGTAGCGGGTTTCACTACCCGGTATGCCTCCCTCTTTTTGCCCCGTCGCCCCCGTGCTGGAAGAGGTGAAGGTCGGATCTGCCCTGCCTGAAAGGCTATGATCGGCTCCGCGCCGCCTCATGCAACTTGCAGGCTCCAGTAACGCTGCTGCTGTGGCGGCTGGTGTTTCAGGTTGCGCTGCCCCCTCCCCTTCTCGTCTCTTTTTCTTGAGGTCCTCACGAAGACACGCACGCCGAGGTTGTTTCATTTTCAAATCGCGCGACATTACTTTCCTCCACTTATTAATTTATTTTGGCATTATATTTCTTCCAATAGACATGCAGATCTGGAAGTTTTTGTGTGTGTGTGCAAATAGCAGGTAGTGCATTGGGCTCACTAGAAACACCCCCTTCCGCTCTTTTAAAGGGGAAGATCTCAGAACATTCATTTCCCTTTAAAGAGAATCGGTATAATACCCAGGGCTATAATTTTACAGGTGTTAAAAAAGGCTGGTAGGTGTGAATGCTCTTTCGGTTTCATACTCTTCTTTGCTTTTCTCAGGGTGTTGCATATCTTTTCTGGCTTGCGTTTTTTGAGCAACGGCTTTGCTATTGTTGGAGATCCACACTTCTCCTGACCGTGAAACGTTGCGTGCGATTGCAACGAGGTGGCACCCATTCCCGCTGCTGCTTTTTCTTTTTAACTGTAGTCTCTTCTTGGCACTGGATCTCCTTCAGTCGGTGGGTTGCTCCCCTTGGAAGTAATGGAAAAATGAAATTTTAGAAATGTATTCAGGCGGCATGGCGGGCGGGCTTAATAGTGGTGCCTGATTAAGTCGTCGTAGTTCAAGTGGGGTTAAACGGAGGCGGGGGTGAATAGAAAGAAAAGCTCAACATTGCAGCTAAGACTTGGAACGGATTGTATGGGTGTCCCTTTCAACTACTTTACTTTGTTTTAGGTAGATTTGACTTCAGTGACCAGCAAGTAGATGCCGAGGGTGGGGTAAGTTTCCGAGCAGAACATGCTCACCTCTGCTTGAAAGCTATGTATGCTGCAAGCTTTAAAAGGATTCTTTTCTCGCTGCTTCCTCTTGAGGAAGGATCACACTTTCTCTATTAAATCAGCCCCTGAGAGCTGAATTGATGTACCTTGAAGGACAGAGCATTTCAAAAGTCTTGCGTGATTTGTCTTTCTATGTGGCCCCCACTCTACCCCACCCTTTACGATATTTATCTATTCCGATTATTTATTAAGACTTTATTACGATAGCTTTAAGCAGGTTGGCTGCTTCTAACAGTTCAACTTTGGGGGCTTCAGCGAATCCCTTGGCCAATCCAGTGCTCCTCAAACAGGCTCTTCAAGTTCTTAAGAGGGTGTGTGGTTTTTTTTTTTTCTTCCAGCATATTGTAAGAAAATGATCCATCCCCTGGGAGGTACCATTGGGATAACAGTCTCTTTGGAATCAGGCCAGTCATCTTGGGTTTGAGGAGCTCTCAACTTAAGCAATCATTTGTCATGCAAAACTTATTTTGTTATTAATGAGATAGAAGCATGGGAGTTATGGTGCAAGTGAACTGTTTGTACATACAGCAGCTGTGGGAACCTGGGAGGAGGCATGGCAGGTTTCTGTGTTGGAAAGCGCAAGAGGACTGATGTTCCTTGGGATTATGGCTGCTGGTAATTCAGTTCCTTGAGAGCAAGCCATGTACCCAGGGTTGCATGCACTGATATAGTGTAGGAGCACATACAAACAGCCTTCCCTCAAGCACACGCACACACACACACTTCCTCCCACATACACTCTTACTCTACCCCCATGACCCACCAGCTTACATGTACGGGAAGATTTAAACCTCCATTTCCTGCATGTTAAGATTGCTTTCAAAACAGGGATTGCACCAATTTAGTCAGTATAATCCAACTTTTGTGGTTGGCCTTGCTGTGCTGTCCCCACATGTGCCTTCCTTCCCTTTGCTATTGATTCTACCCAGCCTTTTTCCATCGCACACCTTCATTGCTGCCTGCAGATAAGTCAGTAGCAGAGGGGACTGGGTATCTGCGCAAGCCTTCTGAAAGATCTACAAGAACTGACTTTGGCCTGCCCATTGCCCATCTGTGTTTTAGAGCATTGAGGTAGCTTTCCTGCTTTCAGGGATGCTGAAATTCAGGAATAACAGTGTAACAGTGTCTGTTACACATTTTTTGGTGCAAGGGGCAAATTCCTAAGAGAAATAAATGGAAGCCTTGTTGATAGCCATCCAGGTTAATGAGAAAGGTTTGATAGGTTCATGACTTCCGTGTGATACCAAAGACAACTCTTAGGGATATGTCTTTAGGAAGGCATATGGGAACTGCTATTGTAAGGCACAAACTCAAGACCTGCCTTCCAGTAGATACGCTTGCAAAAAGTCTTATTCAACCAGTTGATTTTCTAGTCCTTATGACAATTGTGCTGGTCACGATGCTGTAATACCAAAGCATTGTTGATCCTCAATGGCAGGGTAGGTAACCTGTAGCTCTCTAAATGTTGCTAGATGAGAATTCCCGTAGTCCTTGACCATTGGCTATAATGCTGAGGCTGATGGGAATTGGCAGTAAAAAAAAAAAAAATCTGGACTGCCAAATCTTCCCACCCTGTCCTCATTTTATCATGCTACTTCAGTTAGATCATCAAGCCATTAATAAGATTATTTTCACATTTGATCTGTCATCTGGGCTTGTTGCACATACAGCTTGATGGCCTTGGGAGTTCTGGCATGGGAAATAAGGACTTTACTGTGGCAGTTCCACAGTGCTCTCCCAACTGAAAGTGTCAGGCTCCCAATTTCACCAGGACTTGACACTCTTGTTTTGGTAAGCTTTCAAACTGTAACACCTAGTTTTGTAGTTACTGATTTTAGTGCATAATATTTCAGATGTTGCTGTTAGGTTTGTTGTTCTTATTTTGCCTTTAGTGTTAGTAGCATTGTATATTATTTTGTTTCTTCTTTTAGAAACTGGTGGTTAGTTGTACTTGTACTATTGTTATTGTTTATGTAGTTAGAATTATATTGTATACCACTCCAGATACTTTTACTAGAATGAAAGATCAATAATAATTTTCTGTTAGATTGAGATACATTTTTTCTTTGTAGAGTCTAGCCACATACAGATCTGGCAGAAACTCTACTCCCTATGTCACTCCTGCACAACCTGGTGTACTCTATAGACACCATCATCCCCATTGCTCATCAGCCATGCTGGCTGGAATGGTAAAACTTACAATTCAGCTCATCTCATATGCATCCAGTTGTAGAAGGTTGGCATATACTCTATGAATCTCCCACATGGAAGTCTACAACAGACCAGAGCTGCTACCTTCTCAGACACTTTGCTCTCCTGTGTCCACCCACTGCCACAGGGCTTTTTTGTACAAAACAATAGTGGGTAGAGGGTGCCATCCCTATTGTATGGCATTGTCATCTTCTGGACTTTTAGAGACAGGATCCCAAAGTAGAAAGGGAGTCCTTGTGAGCAATTGGTGGATGATCAGGACTGAGTGCTGCAGTAGAACGAGACTACCCAGATTCTATTTGCAAGACTGAGAGAACCATTTTTATGGCACCAAGAACATCCTGCACTTTTCACAACCCACTCTGGTGTCACTAATCAATCGTTCGGAACAGAGAAGGATGCACTAACTCTTCTGCAATGTGGTTTTGAGTGCTGGTGGTTTTATCATCATAGACAAACAGTTGTATTTATCTCCGCTGAAACCCACAACTAATAATAATTTCATATGAGAGTCTCTGAAAGAGAATACCAGCAGTGCAGCCCTAAACAAGTTTACCCAGAAGTAAGTTCAGCTTACTTAATAGGATTTGCTCCACAGTAAGTGTAGATAGGATTATAGCCACAAAGCACCCTTTAGCTATATAAACTTATAAAGAGTGTTTATAGGAGTCTGTGACTTTAAAAAAAAAAAACCTTTGAGGATGTTTTTAAATTCATGAGTCACTTCCATAACTGAGCATGAGTCAATTTATATATTTGTAGAAAGACTAGGAGGTCTCTGTGTTGAGACTGCATGTGTCTGTTTAGGGTATATATATTTTATTTTTAAACATTGTTCCTAGAAGCACCTACATCCTGTAAGCTACTGATTTCAAGTCCTAAAATTTCTCTAGTCATACAAAGCCACATACTTTGGCTTACAAGGGACACATACAGATTTTTCTGCAATTTAACTTGAAGGTCTATTTTACTAATTCTATCAATTTTCATCCCAAAGATGACATCAGTTAAAGTACCTAGGTATGCATTTAGCCTAAGGAAGAAGGTACAGGAATGGTGGCTTGCATACGGCATTAGATATTTTATGTCTTGGATTCTTTGCCTGTTTCATAAGAGGCAAACCAGGTAGCTTTTCGTTAGAATGATAAAAGTTTTTGTGCTCCTCTGTGGCAGGATCTTGGCTCACCTGACCCAATTCTGCAGCTATTATAAATCTCTGGCCTTTTATCATCATATACCAACAGTTCTAACTTTTCTTAGCCATAGACCACTCATCACATGTGGTTTTCGTTCATAATAGCAGGGACTCCCTATAGCCTCTTCTGGTTGAAATATGGAGGCGGCTTCTCTGAACTGCCACGTCTTCCAAGTAGCAAAGGGAAAACTGAGTTATATTATTGCATCTAGGTGAACATGTCTCCTCCCCCCCCCCCCCCCCCATGAGTATAACCACTGAGGTCTTTTTGATGGTCCCTAAAAGAAATGTGTGTGAATCCCGCTGTTCAGATGCTACATCGTTGTCATCCAAAAACCACCTGTGGCTCATGGGATTGTTTGGTCAAGTGGATGCGGGGATGCTTTCTTGTAGAACTAGGAGCAGTGTGGTGCCCCTTCACTGCCATTCTGTGTCCATGCAGTAGCGTCCGTTTTGTGTAGGAGCTGGTGTGGAGCAGCTTCTTCTGGTCCCAGGGGTCACTATGGCAACAGCTCTACAGGTAGCCTATCTTATTGTGGCCGCGCGTCTGCTCTCGGTTAGATTCTGTCATCTGTCAAGATAGCATGCCTAAGTATCTGAAGGAAGTACTGTACCGCTGTGGTTGATGGAGAAAGAGCTGAAGAGCCAAATAACACAATCGCTTATCATTTTCATATTTTTATCATAAAGCTGAGGTTTCAATTGGAGCAGTGGTGCTGAGAGACATGAGTCTAATCTCCACCTACCATGCACTGTTTTAAATCTCCCCTTGCCAGTGCTTCTAGCTTTGCAACAGAAAAATAAAATACAGGTAATCTCAGGAGAACATCCTCTCCTTGTTCCTTCCAGGGCACAGCCTGTATGGCTCTTGGCCCCACCCAGAGCAAGGTGCTGTTGTCATGGTGATAACAGCACAGTCAATGTAAGGGTTCTGGCCTTCAAGTCTAAAAGGAGCCTAGCCAGGCTAACTCAAATGGCAGCCTTGAGTAGTACAATAGACCAGACTCCCCTTCTGACGCTCTAAAAATTTCAGTAGAATTAAGCTTGATTTTTGTCCCCTTCCTTACCAGAGGCCTTACATTTTCTGGAATAGGTTTACTTCATTTATTTTGGATTGAAATGCAGCTTGTTTTATGTTAGCAGGGTGGATAAAAATCAAAGTTTCTTTAAAAACAAAATCAGATATTTAAATTTTAAATTGTATTTTTAAAATTTAAATTGGATTTTTTAAAAAAACAAAATGCTTTTTGAGGAAAGGTTTATCTAAAGATAGCTTTCTCTTTAAGATACATTATAGTCCAAAGGTTATTCATCATGAAATAAGGATTGGTTTTTAATTATGCAGCATGAGACTGTATATTCATGCAATGTTTAAATTTGTTGGTAAATGAATTCCATTAATCCAGTCACAATGTCATGATCTTCTGTAAGATAATTGGCAGTTTTTTTTTCCTCTAGAAGATATTATCACAAATGCTTGGTTTAACAGTTCTCAAAACTGTGAATTTGTGTCTGGGGAGATCACAAGCCTGTTCTTCACAGCAAAAATGTTAAAAATAAGCGTACCAAGTTGAGAAAAAGACCTTTATCCTGTTGTAAATCTATGTACACAGAATCAACCCCTTACCACATAAGTGCTAAATTTCAAAAAATACAATCAATAGAAGGTTGTTGGGAGTGGAATAGATGTGCACAAGAAGCTAAGTGTGAGGTAGGAGGGACAAGCAGTAAAAATGAAAGTGAAACCATTTAAGCAGAATATGCCACAAGTCTTTGGATCTTTCTGTGTATAGTCTGAGGTTTGTCATACTATTCTTTCCCTGGAGTAGAAAACTTATAATGGCAGCAGGCCATAAAATAGACCCAGTTTGGGAATGTTTTAATGAAGTTCCTCTACCTTCAGGCAAGGCAGGCACGCATGCAAATTATGTAGAAAACCATTATTTAAATCTAGTTGATCTGATTTAAATTAAATCCACCCCATATGTTATGTTTACATTTCTTTTGAAATGGCTAGTTTCCTATTGCCCTAGTCACACACAGTCTCTATGTTTGGACTGAATGTATGGAGGGGGATTGTGCTGGCTGCATTCTCTTTTCCGTGACCTCCCTTCATCAACCAGTTGAGTGTTAATTCTTATTTCTGGACAGGAAGATGCAAGTGACCAAGCTTTCCCAAAGTAGCTGATACCCATACTGCTGGCCAAAAGGTAGTCAGATTTCTCTGGCATAAAGTTCTGGTCCTATAGAATACTGAATGCCCACAACCAACCAATGGCCCTTTGCATGAGGGAGAAGTTGCTTATATCAGAAACATCCTTCAGAATTGCTATATAACTTTAGAAGGGATCTCTGAACAGCACAATGTTGGGATCAGTACCTCTTCTCGTGGCTGATCACTGGCAATGCCACGATAAGTTAAGCAGAAATGCAATTTTGAATAATTTTGAATTGGTTTATAATCAATGTAGGAAGGTACTTCAAATAGACTTCAAAAAGAACATATTAAGAAATGTATAATCCAAGTAATCTTAAAATAAAAGTGGTGAATGCCATTAGGAGCATTTCAGTTTTTCTTTTTGACCTCATAATTCAGTTTATACTGTTCTTTCCAGAGCAGCTGCAGAGGGGAGAGACCAGATTCCCCCATTATAGCAGTGTCTATGGCCTTGGAAGGGAGACACTAAAGAACCTTATGGTCCCTGAGACATTCTCCAGGGATAATAGGATTGCTAATCTCTTCATGTGTGGATTTAATGATAAGGATGCAGCACAGTCAAGTTGCCTGTAGCCCTGCAGGCTCAGAGTATTATGGGCATTTTGTGAAGGGCTGGAGGATTTTGAGCATAAAACATAGTTAAAATATTAAACATTAAAAGTACGGAAGAATAAAAAGGTCTTGACCTGGCACCGAAAAGCATATAATGTCAGCACCAGGGGGACCTCTCTGGGAAGCACATTCCATAGCCAGGTGGCCATAGGATTCTGCGGTAATTAATAAGCAAATTATAGTTCATGCCTAATCAGTTCAAGTTTCTTTCAAATCAGGAGTCAATCATAAAAGTAACATTTGATTGTCTGCCTATGTGGGGATTGGGAAGAGCCTGCTAGAGGTATTCTTTATAAAACCTGATGATCCTGAAATGGTTAGTGTTACTAAAATCCACTTTCAGTCACCGGGCCAATATCTAGACAACAGAGTTGCTCCCAATATCTCTATCAGAGGTGTTTGAAAGTAAAACATGTGTTAACTTAATCTTATTGTTATGTCTGTCCTCTAGCAGAAGGAAGATGAGTGAATCCAGTGCAAAATCGAGCCAAACTCTGGCTGTCAAACAAGATAAGGATGCTTCTGAGAAGAGAGGACGAGGGAGGCCCAGGAAACAGCCTCAGGTTTGTGGACAGCTTTCCTGCACATACCTGGAGAAGCTTTTTGCAAGCAGTACTTTGTCTCTGGCTGTTGCCTAAATCATCTAGAAAATGGCAAAGGAGGAACACTACCTATGGCTTAAGCAAAGTTATTGCAAGTCTACTGGGAAGAAGGGCAGTTCTGCCTGTTGATGGCTGCAATTCTGTATAGTATTGTAGTAGATTCTGAATCTCTGGGGCTCTTACAGTGCTTTGTAAGCACCAGAATGCTATGATAGCTAGAGCTATACCTCAGTGGTAGAGCACATGCTTTGCACATAGGAGGTCCCAGGTTTGGTGCTCTGTATCTCCTGGGAGGACTGGAAAAAACTCTGCTGGATACCCTGAAGAGCTACTGTCAGTCAGTATCAACAATACTGGACTAGATGGGCCAGTGGTCTGACTCCTTAGTTATCCTTTTACCTTCTCTGCCCCATCGGTGGTTTTGTTTTGGATTAGTTAGTCTGATTCAGGACAATGGAGGTTCTTTATGGAAGCAGCTTCAACTCCGGAGCCTCTCCAGATCTTCTTTCATGTTGTTATGTATAATTTGATCATAAGAAAAGACCAGATCCTGCTTGTTTAAAAGGTTGCTTTTTATTGCAAATCTTTCAGAGTCATCATTCTATGCTTTGATTTCATGGCCTTGTCTTCCTTTTTTCATGGTTTTCCGATAGCTGTTATTGACAGGCTCTATTGCTGAGTGTACGTTACTGAGAGAAGTGTCTATACAGCTTTTGACACCTTACTTTTAGTGCTGTGCAGGTTCTTCTTTTCCCTACTCTCAAGTTTTGACTAACTTCCTATAGGACTTGATTGCTCACACATCTGTGACATATACTTCAAAGAGGAAAGATGAAATATGACAGGGAAATGGTAGTAATCCACTCTGTGGCTTATTTGGGGAAAAGGTCATTCATTTGGTTTGTTAAATTTTTGGATGCTACTAGAACTGGATTCCATTAGATGAGGGGAGGGCAACCATTGAGCACATTTGGCATTTTGCAGCAATGTCCCAGCACCACCACAAATTATAGTAGGAGTAAAACATTAGGACTGTTCCTTTGCTATATTCTTTCTTTTCTTCTCTCCACCAATGTTTCAGCCATTTCTCTGCAGGGGTTTTTGTCGCCACTTCTGTCGATGTAGCAGTATTGCCCCATTATCTTTAATAAAGGTGGAGAAACAAGTCCCCTAGCAAAGAACAGCTAGAGGGACTTCTTTTAAGTGATGTGTGTGTGTGTAACTAAGTGTATGTATCTTGGATCAACATAGGAATTACAAATATTTACCTGCCACTGACATAATTTTGACTTGGGTTGCTGGTACTCTAACACTGAATTGATACATTCTGGACCTTTCTGTGCTTCTGTTGCTTTCCCCATATTCATATACCTATGTTTTCTTTTCCTGCTATTTCTATATAAAAAGAAATCTTGTTGGAATGTATTATGTCAAAGTTTTAGGGCCTAAACTTCTGAAATCTGTTAATACAGTTCTTGGGTACTACATTAAGAAGATGGATCAAAATCTGGCCACCTCCGTCATTTCTTTTAGCTGGTCTGAGTCTGCAGTTGCTACCTTTCTCCTCATCCTTCTAGCAGAATGTGGCAGTTGCTTTGGAATAAAGAATAGTCCCATGTTGCTGATATGACAGGAAATTAGAAACAGTGGCCATGTGACACTTAAATTGACAAAATATATAATCTATTAAGTCTTTATTAATTTCCAGGTATTAAATCTTTGGGATGTGGTTGAGATTGGGAGTACAAATGCTTCCTTCTCATCTCTCAAAAAAGAGCTTTGGCTTAATGGGGCTTTTTCTTAACATATCCATACTTGAATAAAAAGTAGTGTTTTTTTTCTTTTCAGCCTGTACTACTTCCACCTGGATAGAAGTTCTATCTTAAATCTGATTATCACTTCCTGGTCTGTGAAAGACTTTGAAGTTTGGCACCTAGCATCCATTTCCTTTAACATGCGATCTCAGAATGAATTCTTGCAGTGGGATAGATTCTTTTGTGGGGACAGTTTAGGACATGGACTGCGTAGTCTTGGACTACATAGTAATTAGAAATGCAGTTGACACAGCCTTAAGATTATAACACTAACTTGGAACAAACTTCATTAAGAAGAAATATGTAGCCAGCACCACTAAGGTGGTACATTTTCTTTCACTGTGCTACAAACATTGTAAGATATACTCCCTGTCTAAATTGATACACAGGCATGAAATAAATCATGGGGTATTGTGTCATTTGATGCAATGAAATAACACCTGAAGTTGCTAACTAATAAAACTGTCTTCCTCAATGAAGTTTGATAGCTTTCCTTTATTTCCTTTGGTGTGGCATCTGGGTAGGGAACAGCAGGCACTGAACCTGCCTTGTCCGGTTGAACATGTACAGATGTTTCTATTCCTTTTCACCTGTTGCTGACTGTAATGCTCTTTCTCTCTAGCCAGAACCCGCCGAGGCGCCAGCACCTAAAAGACCACGTGGCAGACCAAAGGGGAGCAAAAACAAGGCCTCAACAAAGGGAAGGGTAAGTATTCTGGGAGAACAAATTTCTTACCCCTCAGGCCACACATGTGTGCATGTACCTGGAAGTGACTTTAAAACTTCATGTGGACATAAATTCCTGTCTCATGAAGCAGCAACAGGGAGAATCAAATCTGCAGGTTTTACTGGGACAGTCTCCTGATACCTTTAATTAAGTCCAAGTAACACTAGTAGAGGGGCGAACTATAGATCTAATAGAAAGGTGCTGACATAACTGCTATTCTAGATTTTTTTCCTCAAGTGGTTCTCGCATTTTTTCCTGTGTCTTCTTTACTTAGTTAAATGTTTTCTAATCCTTTTTATACAGTTGCACTGAAATTCAGTTCCTGGAGGATTTGAGGGCAAAACTAGATGCTGAACATGGGTTTTCCATGTATGGGTTTCCTTGGAACTTTGATATGGGGTCTTAGGAGATATTTTGCAGGCAGAATTAGGAGTTGGGGGATAGTTACTGTTTTACTAAAGCTAGCCATTGATTCTTTTCTGAAATTAATTCTATCCACCCAAGATATTTTACACTCTATCTGGATATGGAAGAGCATATAAAATGTAGGGGCTGGCAACCACATATATGTTGAGGTAACATCTAATTTGGTCTTTTATCAATCTTGGAAACTGTGTGTGTGCACTTGTTTGTTTTTTGCATTTTTTCCAAAGAGGGCATGCTTGAATGTGTATTTTTTTAATGAACTTGAAAATTGAAGAGGAGGAATACAGGTGCCCTGGAGGCATCCATATCTAAGCTATTTTGTACAGAAGTTATTTGATTTAGCTGGACAACTGGTGACATTTGTATTTTGTATGTGTCCTGGAAAGTGGGATTTGCATGGTTGTAAGAAGCAGAAGGGAAAGGCCCAGTCACTCATGCAGGAAGAAGATGAAAAATTCTTAGGAAAACTGAGTGTTGTCAGTGGCTATCCTGGCTGCTCCTGAACTTTGGGTCCCTTGAACTCCAGTACCCTTGTTTTCTAGTTGTTTATCTTGCGTAGCATTCAACCTAGTTGTAGCATTCTCCACACTGGTGGAAAGTAAAGCCTTTCATATGATAAGAGGCAATGTGGTTAAAACTGGGTGAAAGTTGACAAGTGAGTAGATGACAGTTGGTGACTGGGCAGCTGTGTATATGAAAAAATTGTTGAGCTAATTCACAAAGGACATATTCTTCCTTTCCTGCACCCTCCAAGTAGATACTGAGAAAGATCCTCAAGTGTGGCCCAGCTGCTTAGTCCCGAATTGGCAGCCAAGCTGCAGAGGTTATTTCAATGGCTTAAACCAAGCCCTTTGCCATCTGTTCAAATTGTAAAATGCTAAGCAAAGAGAACATCCAGCAGGGACAGTTGCTTCTGCCTGTTGCGCACCTCACTTTGTGCAGCTGCTGCATCCTCTTCCTCCTCCTGCTCTTGGACTTTGTAATAGACACTGCTGCAGAGATGGTTGGCTCAGTTAAATATTCAAGTAGGAGTTTGGGATCTCAGGTTTGTTGTCTGCTTTGGAGTGAGTTGATTCAGAGATCGTGACATGGCAGAATATCACACATGCAGCAATTAATGCAGCAACACTGAGCATTGTGATATCAGCTTCTCAGTGTTGGATGGTTAATGCCTTTCTGCACTTCATTTCCAGAACAGATGCATTTGTAGAGTTGCTCTGATAGTTGCCTGTTGCTCCTTGTGTGGATACCTGCATTTGGCTTTCCTCCAGGCCACTTGTAGTGCATTCCTTAGGTCTTTGGGGATCCAGAGTAGCAATTGCAGAGATTAAAGCAAATTTGCGGTAAGGCACCAGGTTGTTCTGATCGTCTTGCTTTAGCACGTGTTCAGATAGCTTTCTCTACAGCTGGTTTCTTGGCACTACTAAGCTAGAACAAGAGGAAGTACCATGAAAATTATATACCTGCAAGGACTTTCAGAAACTCTGTTCTTCATTCTTGTCACCCACGCTAATCCTGCTAATTACTCATCTCCTGTTTGGAGTTGTTTGAGGTGTTTGGTGTGCTGGATTGTAATGCCTGACCCTCAAATAATGCTCTGCTTTGAATCATAGCGTTTGCCCCTTCTGCAGTTAAAGTAGAATGACAGGATTCGGATACTTATAGCATCCCAAGGCTTTTATACATATAGCTGTCAGAAGGTCAGTCTGTGATCATGGAGGCCAAGTCTTCATGGTCTTCATACCCACTTCTTAAAGATGTGGGGTATAAATACTGGTGAAGATGTCCTAGGAGTGGAAAATAAATTTGCACAAAGTTCCAAGAATGGGGTGTGTGTGTCGTGTTTGGTTTCAAACCTGTTTTGAAAATATGCGACTCATATCCTGCATACTTCCCTGAGTCATGGGGCTGGAGCCCAGATGGCTCCTGCTGAAATTGTTGTGAGGGTTAGAGATGACAAGGGAGGGACTTGTGGCAATGTCCCCAGAAGGCAAAAGGAAAGGCCAGTTGAAAGAGACATCACTGCCTACCCCAAGTGTTCAAAGCTCATATGAGTCACATCCTCGGATCGCAAGATTAATTTAAAATTCATGGGACTGGTACATGGTTGTAATACTTTTGCATACAGTTGGGGAGTTTTGTTAGATCAACTTTGGCACAAACTATTTCAGTTTCATTATTTTTTCCTTTTGGATATTTGTGCTGCTAATTCAATGTTTGTCATCTATGTGAACACAGTTTGGAACAGAAATATTTGCAGTGGTCTACCACCTTTGGATGCTTTTTCACAAATAGCCCTGGTGCTCAGAGGAAGATGCTCTGTAGGTCATTTCAAGTACCAGTTTTGGAGACAAATGTATTTCTTAGAGCCTCCATCCAAACATCAAGTTTAACATTTCAGAAATGTTGATGCTTTTTTCCTAACCCTTTAATGGGCTAATTACCACCACACCAAAAATGTTTTGGTGCTAAAGCCTTGGGTGTGGAGCAAGCCTTAGGGTAGTACATCTTGCCTCTTAAGTTGCCATTTTCTTACTCCTGGTTTAGTTAAGATGTAGTGGCATATTATGGATTACATGAAACTGTAAATTAATGGATTAGGGTTGGGGAGGTGGAAGTCCCTGAGGATTGTTTGTGTAATGGAAAAATTTTTTAAAGCCACTGATTTTTCAGGAACAAAGCCCAGAACTGAAACTGTCAAAGGAGTCCTCACTCACACCAGTACTGGAACCATGCCAAGTTTTAGAACAAAGAGCTTCCTCTGCAGAGAGTGTTACCATGAAACTTTGCTTACTCTTGATGTTATTTGGTGATGACTATATTGTGATTTGTTTATTTCAGACTTTGCCCAGCAACATATATCTATTTATTATATTTATGTGCCACAAAATAGCCAGCAGGACTCTCTAAGCAGCATTTAACAATTAAAATTAAAATGTTGCAATACTAAAATCAATAAAAACCAACCAGATGAAAATGTAACGATGAACTTTAAAATTATATTAAGACAAGTAAGAAAAAACAATTAATGAATCATAGAATGTATACAGTTAATAGAACTATTTTTAAAATCAGTTGTTAAAGTCTGAAAAAGAGGATGGTTTTTGCCTGGCACCAAAGTGGTGATGGTGCCAGGTGAAATTCTCTGGGGATCCTGTTCCATGGATCCCAAAGACCCAAGAAATACAACTGCTTTTTAATCAGGAAGTAGAAATCCCAAATATAGAAATATCTGAAACAGGTCTAGGTTTGGGCTGGATGGCAGAAGCCTTGTAAAATTGGCTTGACTTAAAGCTAACTTTTTGTTATGTTCTTTCTGTCTAGAAAGCTACTGTAACAACATCTGGGAGGAAACCTCGAGGCCGACCCAAAAAATCAGTAAGTGGTTGTTTTTAAATGGTAAATATTTCTCTGAGAAAAATTGGCTATGGTGGCTTATCTTGCATTTAGAACTTGGCATTTCACTTGGGGAAGAGATTTGTACTTCAGGTCTACTCAGGAGTAGTGGGCTGTCCAGTAGGAAAAGCGAATTGTTGGATCAAGAGAAATTGACCTACAAAACATCATGTGATTTTGTTACATTGAGAACTGGATGCTAGCCAGCAGGTACTCAACCTGGAATTTTCAATCAGGCTGCCATCCCAGATATATAATAAATTCTTGGCCTTCCAGTCTTGCAATGATAGGTGCTGAACTGTCTGTGAGACTTGTCACAATTGTCTCCTTCCAGACCTATGGCTGAAAGGTGCAGTTCAATGGCTTTCACCTTCACATGGCTCTTGCTTTAGGAGTGTGATGCTTTCAGTCCTAGTAAAAGTCTCTAGTAAAATCAGTCTGCATATGATTGAACTACTACTAGTAGTAATTATTATATTACCTTTATATCTCACCAGTTTACCTCTTAATAGAAACCTTAGATGGATTACATAATCCTCCCGCTTGCCATGTTATCTTCACAGCCCTGTTGCAAGATACCCACTCCAAAAGCATGGATGGTATAATCTGATGTGAAACAAACAATTGTGTCCTCTAGTTGAGTTGCTACAGACTCTGAGGCCTCTCATTTCCTGACTTGTACGTGGGACTGGGATGGTGCATGGCTGAACAATTATCCTTGGGGGAGTCGTATCTGTTCTAAAGGAACTGCATGTCTTCATAGCCAAGCAACCGAATTCAAGCCCACCTGGTCACTGAGGCCCATGTAGACCAGTAGCCTATTTGATGTCTCCTCAGAATAGACCCTTGTCATTACTCCTTCTGTGTGGAACTCCTTGCCTGTTGGTATCAGGCAGGCAGCAGCAATACGCTGTGCGCACCTCCTGAATACATGTTTTAAGAAGTTGCTGTTCTATTGACACCCTCTGATTTAAAGATTTTAATTCTGTATTTTTATCATGATCATCATCTCTCCTTTTTCATGCTCACTGCTTGGATATTTTATTGAGCAATGTGATGCATAAATCTTAAAAGTAAATAAAGATAAAGATGCTTACCTTTCAAGCAATAAAACAACTTGCAGGAAGAGAGAGAAATTCTGGGGAATGAATTGACTGGTGTTATGTCCTGAGGGCAAACTGTACTACCTTCATCTCAGAGTTAGTGTCAACTGTAGCAACACAACAGCTTCATATTCCTGTCTGGTAGCTTCTCTTTGGCACATTCAGTGGGAGATGGGCTTCCTCTTTTCTCATCATGACTAGGCCAAGGGTGGTTATGGACGCATTTGGCATTTTTAAAAGGATCCCTTGTCATTGTATATGGACTCTTTACTTGCCTTTTTTCTGGCTCCATGTTTCTGTGTTCTCTCCATCGCTATGCCAATAAGTAGTCATTTCTCTATTCTTTTGCATAAGGCAAGAACAACCTAATTTGATCACTCCACTGCCCTGCCCAAGCCAGTTGGCATGATGATGGCAAGGGAGGATGGCCCACTACTTTTTTTGCTCCCCTCAGTACAGAGGGGGGCACAGATCTCCATATCTCTACATGAAGCAACAGAAGTACAAGGATTCAATCTGCAACACCTGGTCAATTCCAGGGCATCCCTTTGTTATCTCTGATCACTGGGAAGACAAGAAGCACACAAAGGGATCCACAAATTGGAGATCTCATTGACATTTCTTTCCCCAAGATAAGAAGAGAGAAGCATGGAGGGTGCCCATCCCTTTCTGGACTGGGCAGGCCCATGAGTCAGATCAGGCCTGTAGGCCAGACATTACTCTCTGCTAGCATAGAGTGAAACATTGCCATATTGAAAATTGGCTGGAGGTGATGTAAAGAGTTCCTTGGGTGGGGTGTTCCATTTTCCTTTTGGGGGGTAGAGATTTGTTTCCCAGCCATATTTATGTGAATGAGGAATTCTTTCCATAGGGATGAAAAAACCCCTACTGAAATTTTACTGTAGGACCCTACAAAGGGCCCTGTTACCCCTACCCCAAGTGGTAGGCTTTGACTCTAGAAATCTTTGTCTGGGCACCATCTTCCAGTTTGCTGCCTCTCCATTGTCCCATACTTCATAAGGGGGAAATAATTTGTTGGGCACCTCACCAGCCTTTGTGGGTACATGTTGGTTACCACAGCACTACGAAGTGATCTGCAACTACAAAAATAAAAATAGGAAGTGCATGATCTCCGTTTTGTTTAAAATGCCAAGTTAAAAATACTGCAACACACAAAAAGGACCAAGTTGCTCAATATGTGAGTTATTGGGTGCTCTCTGAATCCGGGAGACACTACCCTAAGAAGATAGGGTGAGATGCAGATACAAGTATGTTCTGTTCGTGTAGGTCAGGGAGCTTGATGAGTCTCTAGTGGAAGCCCCAAGACCAAGGGTATTTCCTCCTTTGATGGTGATTGCTTGGCGTCTGCTTGTTGTGTTATCAGTTTAAAAACACATTGGCATCTTTCTCCATGCTGCCTTCCAATTTATGATTGCTAGCGTTCTTTTCTTTCTTGCACTGAAATGAGTAACAGGAAGTGGTTTGTTCTCTGTTAGCTGGCTTGGATCTGGTGCTACCAGTGTGGCATTCTAGCATTCCTGCAGAATGAGTTCTAGGCAGTTTCAGCTGGCCGTCATGGTCTACCACAGCAACTGCATCTCACATCCCACTAAGGTGTTCTGGTCTGGGTTCAAGAATTCACCATCAAAATGGGTTTCCCAGTTATGGTATATACTGTTTCCAGGACTGATCTCTCAAATGCATCCCCATCTGCTGCTGTGGTGAAGGCTAGACTGACCATGATGTAACTGCAGGTTGTGTCTTCTAATACTGGCTAAGTTCTAAGCATGCCTTTATGTAACTGATGTCAAAATATAGAATACACTTGTTGGGACACCAGAAGGAAAACAAGTAACTTTTCCTTCTGGCAGGCCCCTTCTTTACATGGGTTCCCCAGGGACAGGATTTCTGATAGGTTTTTCCTCACTGCCTGGCACACCTAGTCTGTCCAACTGCTTGGCGAGTCCCTGAGCCCTGTTGCAAAAGAACCCTTTCTTCAGCCCAGGCCAAGGGAAAAAGTAAAAGAAAGGTGTTTTGAACTTTTCCTTCCCTAAGCCCAGAAACAGAACTTAACAAAGTCCTTCTGAAATACAAACAGTAGCTTTGTGAGTGTGGTCATTAATGTGAGGAACAGTTCAGTGAGAAATCCATCTGAAAGGAACACAACCAAATATCCTAATATAAAAAGGAGTTTAATGAAAAAGAGCAAAGAACAGGACAGGGTCAGGGAAGACCACAATTAAAAATATACAAAATTCAAAATCAAATTTAAAAACCCATCTAATTTATGTTGCCACATAACATATTTGAGTAGAGCCTTGTGTCCCAAAGCATGTCAAGTTTATTGCAGAGAGGACAGTCTGAGACACAAAGTATCTTGGCTTCTAGTTAGATGGTCTATCAAAAGCTGAGGACTGAGTGAATCTTTTTATAGGAACTTCAGTAAAAGCAAACCCCTTTGCAGAGGCAGATGGTTGGTATGCCCATAATGCAATAGCTTCCATTTCTGATATCACTGATCTAGCCAGCAAATCAGAAAATTACCTGGACCCACTTTTTCTGAAAACATATATGTTAAAGCCCTAAAGTGGTTGGATCTAGTTGGCTGATTTTAAAAGTGAGGATTAAGGTTTTGGTTGCATTTTAAAAACCAAAGAAGTGAGATATACCTAAATAAAACTCTTCAATGTGATGATTAATTTTCTACGAGTACTGTCATTCTATATCAGAAGTAGGGTTTGACAGAACTCTGTAAATCTATTCTGTTTGCTTTATCCTTCCTTTTGTTTTAATTCTAGTATATTCTTAAAAATGCAAGTGAGGGGTGCGCTAATCTATATTGTTCCATTGTTTGCAAAAGAAATTTGATTGTAAAGTGGATTGACCTGTAATTTGTATCTTCTAGTATCCTGGACCTGGAGGAGCTTGTAGCAAACCGCTTTCCATGGTCTGCACTACCATTGTGCCCTCACCCAAGCTCTGGTGCTAGCAAGCAGCTACAGAACAAAATTTTAAATTAACTGCAGTGTTCAAAGTATCACTGCACAGCATTAGGAGAAATAAATGTGGGGGAAGGGGTGGAGTACATTTCCTTCTTGGTGCTATCATTGTAATTTTTCACAGTGCTTCATAGTGACACCCAGGAGCAACCTTGAGCTCTTGAACACACTGCAGGAAATTGTGTATAGTAATTTGTATTTATCTGCAGGCCAAGGGGGGGTGTTCCCAGAACAAGCATCAGTGCCAGGGGCCCCTAGAAGAGAACTGGCAGCTGCCAAGTGTGTCAAGAGCTGATGCTGGACCTGCTAGCAAGTACATATCATTCTCTCTAAGCAAACCAGAGTAGTTGACTGCCTGCCATTTTGGAAGTGAAACAGGACCACATAAAAAAAAAAAAAAGTGTGGTTTATGTAAACTCTTAGAACTTCCTAGATATGCTTAAGTATGTGTATGTTTTTAAATGACTTAAAGCAACTCAAAATGACCTGACAAACACTTGTAAACTTCCAGGACATACAGAATGTTGAGGGCAATTGAGCATAGACACCATCTGAAGATAAAACTTGGTTGGGGGGGGGGGGGTCACACTGAATGCTAAAGGCTGGAACTGTTGTCTTTGCTGCTACCATTTGCTTGAATGGAGCAGAAGTCCCACTGCTGCCCAAGCACGACTGTGCTAAGATTCAGCCATTCCATTTTGACTTCTCTAGAGCTTGCCAGATTCTTTGTAATTTGGCTTAGGCTACCAGCCTGGTTCAGTTGCAGCCCCTGCCCCCCTAAAAAGAGAGAGAAGCTATATAATATCAGTCATTTCCTTCCTGTGCTAAATGAGGTCTCTAGCCCTGGAACTGGCTGTACAGACTTGGCAGGCACATTCCACAGTGGCTTAAATGTATATTTTTATGAATGAAACACAAGGAAGTGGAGGTTGCTGACTCACACACACACTCAGCCATGACTCATCTCATTCTGACAGCATTTGTTTTTCTTTAAAGAGAGCAGACAGGAGATACCTCCTTGAAGAAATATGTTCCCCCTTGTACACAAACAATTGCTTTTCAGAGCTGGAAGGGTGTGGATGGTAGGAAATCTTTTTACTGAGCAGAGTGAATGAAAGCTTTGTAGAAAATAGAGAAAAACAATTTTGAATTAGATGGGTTTCTTAATACCACTGTCCCTCTTGTGGAAACTCAGTTGCATGACAACCAAAACACAGAAAATAACCCATTTAGGGCTCTCCATGCCTGTGTTAAGCATTGTTCATGGCACCTTTGCCAACCTGGTGCCAGATCTGTTGGATTACCCTAGTCAGTGGAAGTTGTACCCCAACACATCTGGAGGGTACCAGGATAGGTAAAGCTTGTTTATGCTATGTAATCAAAGTTACTTACTGCCAATTGGTAACTTATGACAGAGAAGTGTGGTGAACATTCTGCACCATAATAACAGCAGGGCCTTTGCTGCCTTATTTGGTGCCCAGACTGCTTCCTGTTCAGGTCCCCTGTTTGTCTGTGTAACTGCTTTGGTGGAAAAACTTGTTTGTGCCTTTGTCACAGCTGACTATGCCATCTGTGCTAGCATGATGTAGGTCTGCTAGTTTCTGCCTGTCACTCAAAGTTTTGAAGGCTTGTGTTTATTATAGCTGTCTTCTAGGAGGAACCTGCAGCATCGATTTGAAAATACATTGCTTTTTCAAAGGATGAAAAGCTTTTTTTTTTCAGCACAGGATGGGACCTGGGAGAACTACAGAAAGCAGCTAGTTGAGCGCTTGGGAAGAAAAGAGGAGAGGGAGCTATCTAAATGCAGGCATTTCTTGTGTGTGTATTCTCAGGGCTTCGTTTGAGCCAGGTTGCAGTAAGTTGATCTTTGACCTGCTTTCCAAGATCACATTTGAGGCTTGAATAATATAAAGCAGTAAGTTTTGTGACTCTTAGTGCAGTGTAGATTTGAGGATGTGTGATGCAACTAGTTACCACATATCTGTGACTAGGAGTTGGGATGGCCATGTCAGAGCAACTGAAAGGCAACCTCAGGTTCCTGCACTTCTCCCTTCATAGCTGCCCTAGTGATGATAATAAACAATGTTAATTAGCCTTATGCCTAATGTGATATAATCCCCTCCATGATTGTCTCAATCCTTTTCTCTTCCTGTCCAGGAAAAGGATGAAGAAGAGGTCAACATCTCCCAGGAGTCGTCAGAAGAGGAGCAGTGAAAATAGCCAACTGATTCTACCTCACAGTTCATTTTTCCTATTTCTTGTCGAGTTCTGGGACTGAGGAAGGAACAAAGAATCCTCACCCCTTCCCTGACCCCCACCTCTTCAATGTTCTTGCAGTCAAAACAGCAACACTGGAGTACAGTGTGAAACAAATCAGTCATCGCATTTGATGTATAATGTTTAACGGGAAAACCATGTATGGTTCACCCTTCTCATTTGACAGGGTTAAAATTTTAGCCTACCAGTTCATGTAATTCTGTGTCAACCTTTCACAACCTGGTGCCCTCCAGATATATTAAATTGCAACTCCCATCATTCTGAGCTGGTACTGATGAAATGTCAAAAAACATCTGAAGGTTGCCAGATTAGGGAAGGTTGTTCTTTATTTTGTATGTTTTTTGGCCTATCTCTTCAGTACACTCCTTGTAGAGAAAGGGGTATATAAATCTTTATGGTAACCACTTATTCATGTTGAAAAAGAGTGGACAGCCTAATTATTCCTGAAATCAACCTGATTTCCCTTTTACAGAGACCATACCATCCTCCAAAATGATACTTGGCAATGGCAGAAAGTTATGCCATGGAGGAGAATTGGGGATATTATCTGCATTTATTCTGGGATGTCAGTATGGTGAGAAAAACCACAACACTGAAAAGGAGGAAGGCAGTAATTGTTTCCTATTGTAAGCCATTTGCCTAGGTCCAGGTTTTAGAGGATGTTAGCTTGCCTTTTCTCACTCCATTTCCTGTGGTTGAAGCATAATATGGCTCTTCACAGTAGCCCTGTAATTTGTTGATGGCACGCAACTTGGCCCCAACAAGCTGCCTTGGAGCCCAAATACTTAGGCTTGCTATTGGTAAAACTGCTGGGGTCTGTTCTTTTATTCTCATCTGCCAATGGGAGCTCTTTCCAATAACCACATAACAGTCCCTCCCATCTACTCCCACTGTAACTCCAACTGCCCACTCTCAGGTCAGAAAGACTTGCAAGTGGGAGCGTACAACTTGACAGTTCTTTGCCTTGGTGCTTATTCATTCTGCACAGAAAGGAGGACTATTGGATCTCCTTTGACACCAGACAAGTGTTTGTCAAGACCATGGAAAGCAGGATGACAAATTCCCTCCCCCGGCCCCCAGTCTCTTCTGGTTTTGGTGATGTTCTCAGTTGATAATAGCACAGTTAGAGTGTTAGCCACAGTTGTCTTTTCAAAACATGTTGTCTATCAAGGTTTTTCTCTTTCCTTCATTCACAACTACCTCTGGATAATTTAAGTTTCATTCTCTTAAAACATGGAGTTGCTGCTGTTTGTTGCTGCTGCTTCTGATGCTGCTGTACTGGTTACAAAGTTTTATTATTCCAACAGGATCTGTCTGGTTTTTCTCTGGAACTGACATAATACACTATAGATAATTTAGTTTGAGTTGACTTTTAAAACTATTGTGCTATTAAAGGGATAAACACTTAATTTGTCAGACTGATGAGTGATTGGGGAAGGGGGGAGTTCTTTGAGAATTGGCATCATTTCAAAGGATGGTTTATTGACATGTTCAGATTCCCAAAATCAGAATTGCTTCTGAAAAGGGTTATTCAAGCTCCTTGGGCCTCTTTGCTCAAAGAAACCCATCTCTATTTTTTCCCCTAATAATAGACTATAGGCAACTGCAATGAATAGCTTTTAAGAGCATTTCTGGGGGAGGGGGGGTGCTTAGCAAAGGCTCATTCTACCAACATGCCTGACAACTGCAAGCCATGTTGAAGCTTGTGTCAGTTCCTGTGCTTCAGTATGAAGACACATAATGGGTACATTGTCCATGTGAAGGTGAGACCCTGGTACAGCTCAAATCTCAAATGGCTTGGACCTCATTTGATTTGAGTATTTGTTTCACATGCATTAATTACACTCTGGTTTAGAACCACATTGCTCAAAGATGCTGCTCAGTGGATATAGCCCTAGCATGGACTTCCTGTTGGATGTTAACTTCTCTGTGGGGAGAAAACAGCAGAAGATTGAGAACTTCTTGAACTGCTGTAAGATTTTAGTAATTGCTGGAGAGATGGTCTTTCACCTGCCAAGACCAATAAATAGTTCTGCCTCTATTTTGCCTAAATACTGTTTTAAGAATAATTCAGTGATGATCCTGCTGCTCTGAGACTGGCATCTTTCTACAACCAGGTTGGCATTATTTGCACAAAGCCTAAACAAATCACTTCTTCAGTTTCCAGGTTGAAGATTGATGTGATGGTTAAATAATATGCCAACATGAAGGGGAGTCTAACTTCACTATTTGTCTGCCATTGGCCAGCGACCTGTCCTCTTTAATTTTACAATTTTATAGTTGACATACCGGGGAAGTTGCAAGCAAGGAGCAGTTTTTATTTCTGCCTCAAACAATGCAATCCAATGCACATCCACTCAAATAAGTCCCACGAGGCTCTGTGGGACTTACTCCAAGGTAAGGTGTATAGGATTGCAGTCTTAAACTATTAAAGAGCTAGACAGTTCTTTCCCCATCTTGCTTGATCTTTTCAGTTAGCTGAAGCCCTGGGTCTGAAAGCAGGTTTTTTGGATTTTTTTTCTGAGGACAGTGGTGTTGGAAGTTGCCTTAAAGCAACTATGCAAGAATGCACAGGGATGGAAGAAAGATGGGGTGACCACTGGTTTTGTGGGTTGTGTGGATCTCTGAACCATTGCTAACAACTTGATACCTTTTGCCCATTTGCAATTTACTTGAATAAACATTAATTGATGTTTCAAACCTTGCCTTTGAGTTTTGTTTGAGGAGTGTGGGAATGTTTCCATGGTGCCTCCAAAGCTGTAATCAGTGAGTGTTCATATATGACAAATTAGGCGTGCAAACTCAAGACAATCCCTTTCAGGAGGCACACAGAGGACTCGTGTCTTTTACTGCACCAAACTTGTTACTTCTTTCACTTCAGAATGTAGAATCTCAGCTCTCTTGAAGAGACATGTGAGTATGAGGAAGCTTCACTGTACACGTAACACTTCAATCTAAATACCTTTGGGTAAAAACAGATTCATGGGCTGGTTTGAGCTCTTGTGGGAGATACAGATTAAGAAAGGAAAGAAGTCCAGTTTCCAACATTTCCCAGCTAGCATAGCTGGTAGGGGGCTGCAGGGAATTGTGGGAGTTGTGTTTAAATATGCCTAGCACCACAGCCTCAGTAAAGCTGCCCTCATCTTGTGCTATAACAGTAACTCCAGTGACATCTGGATCACAGGCTTCTTGCAGAGTTTCAGTAGAAATTCGTCCTAACCCTCGTTACTTATTTTCAGAAGCCCATGGACAAATGTAGCTCAGATCTGACTGCTCAGGTATCCTGTATTACCATCTTTTAGAAAGATGCAGCCCCTATTCATGTTGATTAAAAAAGGGAGGCTTTCTAAAACAGCATTACCTCTTGTCCTCCCCTTTTCTGTCTCATTTTCCCCTCCTTGGTATGATTTGGATCTAATCCAGCCTTCCCCAGTGATGCAGGACATAGAACTCCAACATATCTGAAGGATACTAGCTTAAGAAAAGCTGCTTTAATTAGTTTTCAGCTGATTTGGGATTTTTATCAAAGGTCTAAAGCAAGCAAATCTTTTACTAACAAAGATTAAAGAACTCTATTACTTGTATTTGAGAAGGTTAACACTAGCTTCCTCTCTTATTCACCAATCACATGAGGGGGTTGTGGAGCAACACAGGGTAGTCAAATGACGATGGTGTCCACACAACATACAAGTCACAGTCCTACCAAACTGAAAACAAAGCAAGGGTGCTGCTATTGCTGAGCCGTTTCAAACAACCCATGTTGAAGTCAGCCTGTGGGGTCAGATAACCCATGGTGGCAAGAACAATGCAAAAACAAGCCATGGGTTCTCAGGACAGCTTGCTCATGGAAAGTAAGCCACTTTGTAGAAACGGAACCAGGTTTGGACAACACAACAATCCACCATGACAGGCTACCCACTACCCATGGCATGTTGTGTGGTATGAACCAGATGCTACAACTTGTTGCATGTTGAATGCAACATGGCAGTTGTTGCAACTGAGCAGTACTAATAAACAGCAAGCTGCTTGCAGGAAACACTAACATTACTACTTCCCCATATACTAACTCCAGCTCAGATTAACTGCGCACATACCTGCTAGACCAGCTTGACTAAACCAGAATCAATTAACACTTTTTGTGCTTAAGAATAAATGGAAGCAATTAGTGCAATACACATTATGAGACATTCCCTAGTAGCCTATTAGTAATATGCAAATTAGAGTCACTTTATTTCCATATCCAGAGACTTTTTTTCTTGACAGTCAGAAGTTACCTGGAAGCAAAAACTGCAACATTTGGCATCAGACATAAGCACTGCAGATGTCCTTGCACTCTTCTACAATCTATTACGAGGACAGCTAGCCAAACTTTGAAACACTTTTTTGGAATGAGGCAGAGAGACAAAGGCCAATAGAGCAGTCTTAATACATGTTTTGCCCATGTCAGCAGTGCAGCTCTCTAGTCATGCTAACAAGGTATGTGCATTAATTCTTGGCTCAGCAGCAGTGGTCTGCAAGGGTTTTCTGCATCAGCAAAGCCCATGTGGTACCTGCACCAACACTTCTTCAATCTGTCACAGGGAGTCAGCAATGACAAGTTGTACTCACAAAAGACAAGCATTAAAGATTAGAAGCAAAGCTTGAAATTTTTGCCAGAAATGTTCTTGTTCAGAATTAATTTTATTTACAAAATATAGATGAGCTTCCAAATATAAAAGTCATCATTATAGAAAGAACCACCTTGCAGAACTCAAAAATTTCACTAAAGGAAACAATTCCTCAAAAATACATTAAGGCTCCTTCTGACTGACATGCTAAACATCCCCTGTTGACCCTCCCAGTGAACCTGTTTATCGCAGTGCAAACTCCAATTCCTGTACTGATCAGTATTTGTTCATTACATACATTTCAAGATGTAAAGTGAAAGACAGTACATTGCAGTGCCCCCTCTTCTTCCCCACACTGTCCACATATTTTGTTGCGCAGCTTCACTTCCGTTGCCTTTGCCCTGCATCCATCAAAGGGAATGTCATAAGTACCCAACAGCTAAGCAATGCACTCATTATCCGCATAGGTGCATAGGATCGGAGACTGCTAGCAAATGCAGTGAAATGCCATGGCAGCTGCAGCTTAAACGCTGATTATTCACAAAAGGAAGCTGAGATCAGTTCAGAGTTTTATAAAGCTGAACCTTGTGAGAACTGTAAGTTCGTCGTACAAGAGCCATGTCATTGCATTTTACCTGTTATGTCAGAAGCTCCAATATCTCCCCAATATATCAAATGCAAACTAGAAGTAGTATGAGAGATGTTATCAGTCATGCCAAGGAAAAGCATTCACAGATCCAAATACAAACTCCAACTGTGCACCAGAACACGCACCACTCACCTTCTTTCATGGACAGTTAAATTGGAAGAACACAGTTTTAAAGTGGAAAGGAAGAATCCAGGAGGGCATAGTACTGAATGGGAAAGAAAGGCATCAGGTTCAAAGGGAATGGCATTTGGGAGTGTTTCAAGTTGGCACACATGCCAGGCAGGTGAAGTCACCCCTCCACACCCTGTTGTCTGTCTGAGCTGAGCAGCATCAAGCTTTCACATCCAGAAAGGAACCACGGTACGGCTGGTATCCTCCCCACCCTCGCATCACCTGTAACATACAGATACATTTTGCTTCAGTTAGTACAGCCACCATACCGAGATTAGCAGGTAGCCTCAGTTTCTGAGAATGACAATTTCTGAGTTTCCATAGTTGAAAACAGCTGTTAGGCAAATAGAAATTTCTGTCATAATTCTTTGGGCTTCCCCTTGGATAGAAATCTATTAGGAAGAAAGTAGGTGCAATGCATACTTCTTGTACGTACTTAGGTTACATCTGTTTTCTAAAACAACTTCAGCTAGCAAAAACAAATAGACACATACAGAAAATAAGCTCTGAAAGAAGATTTGAAAAACATGGCAAGTTCCTAGGCACCAACCCTAATAAAGCTGAACAAGAATTTTAGATCCCTAAAAATCAGGATCCATTTTTTTACATAGAGAGTGCCTGGGAGTTTTTCCAAGCTTGATAAGGTTAAAAATATTTTAATGTTTCTGTTAAGCAGATCACTGTCTACATTAAAAGGGACAGACAAGGACTCCATGTTTTAGAGTGTAAATCAAGCACACTATTAACACATATGGTATAAATATTAGGTCCCATAATATAAAAGCTATGCCCACATCTTTATTAATATAACTTCAACCAAGATGTACATACTATTTGAATCACTGACCCAGATTCAGCCAAGCTGTATACAAGCATTATAAAAAGAATGCTTGGCTTCTTTAGTGCTGCTCACACTCTTTGCAACGTAATTGAGCAATACTGTTTGTCTGTGGAATCACATTGCTTAACATAATGGTTCTCAAATTGCTGGAAGCTCACCCTCTCCCTTCTTCAAGGGCAGGTTTCTTGCACTCTTGCTTTTTTTACAGTCTGCTAGAAGTGCCAGAGGTAGGAATGCTGGAGGCAGAAAGACCTGAGACATTTTCAGATTGAATATTTTGTGAACACCAACACACCTGATTGCACACTGGGCACATGAGAATTGTGCCACTGAACTCTACATCAAGGGCTGGCAACCCGTGGCACAATGTGGCCCTCAGCTTAATTCATGCAGATGGCTGGGGGAATGTTAAGCTACACAGTGGGGCTGTTCATGGAACAACCACAGCAAGCCCAGTGGAGGTCTGGCCTCATCCTGGGTTATCTCCCCACCCTCCTTCCCCTTCCCCTTCCCTCCTCCCACAAGTATACCAGGAACCAGCACAGCAGAACCCATCTTGCCTCTTCTCCTGCTGTGATCCTGACAGTTACCCATGGCTTTCCCCCACTTCAAGAGATCACTTTTTGGATGGTTCCTGCTTTGACAGCAAGCACTTATTTTAGGTAGCTGAAGCTGTACACTTATGCAACTCCAAACTAACAACATACCATATTTTTGTAAATTATCAAAAACATTTGTGCACCTTTCTGACGCAAAAAGATGTTTAATAAAATAGATGGCCAAGTCATGGCATTCCCTCATGGCATTTCACCTCAGAAATCATGAGAACTGATATTTTCAGAGCAGCTGCAAAATGGCCACCATTTCAATGAGCCAGTGATGGTTGCTCCAAAGTGCCACTTGAGAATTTGGCAGAGCGGCTGGCACTGGTACTGGCTTGCTGCTTCTCTGGATCCACACTGGGATCAGTGTGCTAGGTTTAGACAATGCACAGCCCATCATGGGTCCAACAACATGCCACGGTTTGACAAGGTTGCCAAATATGAGCCACCCTGCAGGAAGCATTCCAAGTTCAAATGACACAACAACATCATGTGGCTATTACCCAGGATTACTTGCCATATTGTGTGAACCCCATCAGAGAAAGAAAGGTGGGGACCACTATGGTCCTACCCATTCCTGGCATGCAGCCCTTGAAAGTCTACATTTGATGGAATGCAGACCTGGATGGGAAAAAATAACCCAGTCCTAGAGGATCTTTTGCCCAAGCTTTGAATTTCCTGTTTAGATGGGATGCATATTATGGACCACTCCACTGTTTATGTCCTTTTCCTCTGCAGAAATGAAAGCATAAGAACGCCATGTATTGCACACACAACAGATATTGGACCCATTCAAGCTTCTCAGCCTACATGCCCTAAGCACAGCGGTCAGACACTGAACTGGTACAGCAAGAAAACCAATCAAAGGTGTTTGAAAACCTAGCCTTCAGTTGTTTCTTCTTGCTCTTTCCCGAAATCAACACACTTCCAAGTCGCAAGCAAATCACATACATAGACTTCCCAAAAGATGCCCCACACTGAAGCCTGGCCTCTTTGGAGCCTATCGACTAGAGCACAGGTCCTAATTAAGCTCACCTTTGCATCCTCTGGCTCCACCAGGAGCTCCTGCTCAGCCTCGTGCAGCTCCTCCGCAGGATCGTAGCTATACATCGGTAATAAGTGGTGCCGCAGCCGGTCATACCTGAGAGACAAATTGGCATATGATGCCACTTGGATATATACCCCTTCCCCAAGTTACTATGTGCTAGCTATACCTTTAAAGCCATGTCAGTCAGGGTTGATCTGGTCCAGAGACATAATCTCAAGTGATGGGGGCAAGGGATAACATTACAAATAGCTCAAAACCCATCACTTTTAAAGAATGGACATGAACATATTCAATGTCCTTTTCCCATCCAGGCTCTTCCAAGAAACGTGGGAAGAAATTATCTCTAGGACTAGGGTTACAGAGTGGGTTTACTCATTCATGACTTTTTTGCCTGACCACATCTTTTGAAAAATGTACTTGTGATTTCAGTCACACAACAGAAGTATTACAGTTATGTACATGATACTCTAATCAGTGGGCTGAACTGCTTCAGATTTCACCATTGCCCAAATGAATAGGAAAAGCAACAACAACAGATGATCTTGCATTTTTCAAATTCCTTTTAATAAACTGATGCAATTCACTCTGCACATTTCAAAGCTTATATTTATAAACACATGTATATGGATTTGTGCGTGTCGCATGCAGTAAATGGAAAGGCATGCCTAGCAACATTTTAATCTATGGATTATAAAAAGGGTGCAGTCCTGCTAGCTGTGCCCTCAACAATCAGAAGGCCCTGAATTCCAAAGCCTCTCCAGTGCAGGAGGAGCATCGAAAGCCATCTTTGCCTCCTCATTTTCCTACTCTGCGTATTCATTAGATGGGCTAATGGGCTCTGCCACAGAGCCCTGGGGAAAGGAAGGGAAGGAGGCTGGAAGTGTTTCAGGACTCTCTCCCACTAGGGCCCTCTCCCTTCCCCACCCAATGGAATTATACCCCCCTCTTCTTCTTTCTCATGAGAAGATATAGAAAGGCGAAATTCTGTGCCCTATAGCCCCCCAACAATGTCTAGGGGTGACAGGATCATACCCCAGCTGTAAAATATTAGGACAATTCCTTTGCACCAATGTGGCATCAAATTTCTACCTTGACTGTCACTAAGAAGCATTCATTCAACTTATCACCATTTCCCATGTGGTGATAAGTTTTTATAACTGAGCTGTTTCTCAGAACCTAAATCCTTCCTGATATTTAAAACGAACACTTTTTTTTCCTTAGCTAAAGCCCCATTCTTCCTTTTCCTATCATTACTGACCACCTACGAGTAGGATGAAATGCCAATCTGCTCACAGCTGCCACCTGAAAGTCATGTCATCAGCAACAGTGATAACTCTTGTGCAACAGGTGTTCCATTGCTCTACATTACAGCAAAACCTAACACATATTATCACTAGAAGGCTAAAGAGAGACTCTACGCAATATGAAAACAAAATGCCAACAAGCCACACCAGATGAAAAATACCATGGCTGGACCTGACCATCATAAGCCTGAAACATCTCCACTGGTGGCATCTAAGGAGGAATCAAGACAGCATCAGCCCTATCACCCTGGCAACCAGTTAGCCAGTGTTTCTTCTTGATGCCAACAACTTGCCTCTGACCATGGAGAGGTGCAGCTTCATAATGGGGCTTTCACGGGGACCTGGAGGGTAGCATAGCAAGATGTTGCTGTTTCAGGCAGGGGTAAGTCCAGGTCTGACTTAGGTCCCAAACTCTGCCCTGTGGATAGTCCTAGATTAACCTTGTTGCCAATGAGTCAACAAGCATGACTCGCCAACGTAAGTATTTATTAGGGAGACAGCCAATTTGGCATATCAATATTAGTTATTTGTAGTGTAAACATGCCAGAACAGACAGGACTCCCAATTGTTCTATATCTTCCTTGTTTGGCTGCCTGGGCATGATTCCATCTCAATACAGATGACCAGACACTTGGTTATATGCAAAACTGATCCAGATACATCCTCATTTTGCAAAAAGAGAGAGTTAGAACAGGCCTTTCTACAAATAATCTGGAGACTGTGTTGAAGGGCAGTTCTTGCTTTAACAATATAAGGTAAGGATGGACTAATTAGTTTGCCAGCAAAATGTTTCCTCTCACTGAAATCCACCTATGTTCCAGGGCAGTTCAATGTAGAAATAGAAAAGGAATGCAACAGTTGAATATTCATTACAATCAACCCCCTCCACCATTAATAATTAGCATTATTGTACCTCAACTTATCTAGTGAAGTAACCTATCTCTGTTCTGTATCTAGAATAGCCTAAGTATACAGCTGATAGCAGCACACAAAGACTCCTCTGTTCTCGTTGAGTCACAAACTATTTTCTCTAGTAAGAAAAAAGTTAGTGCTGAAGAGACATATGACTCAAACTGCCCATTTCTTACAAGATCTGATTACTATCTCAATGCATTCTCTTACCTTCTTTTCTTCTGAATATACATCATCTGCAATGTGAAGAGGAAAGCAGAGAAAAACAATTATGAGAGGAGCATAAATACAAGTCTGTTCGGTGGATTATTTCTCCTTCCAAGGAATGAAGCATGGGACAAGAAAGAGAAGGAGCAACAGCACAAAAAACATAAGCAGGAAGAAAAGCATTGCTTGTGTTAGGTCTGTCTCAAAGCACAATCCTGGCAGCAGGAATGTCACAAGATATTAGCCTACTGAGTCTATGTGGAGCACTCGGCTCATTAAACACTGGCTGGGTGTCGGATGACAACAAAGACATTGAGAGAAGAAGCTCCATGACAATACCGCAAACCGGACTGCAATCTTCTTAGTCCAGAGGAGCCAGCTCCGGGGCAATTCCAACCCCACTGGACTCTGCCACTACTGCCATGCATGCGCGTGCGCACCTCCTCCTCCACCCCAGCAACTTGAATCATGATCACTGGGAGGAAGGCATGGATAACGCCTGTTCCACCTTACAATGATCATGATCCAAGCTGCTTGCATTAGGACTGGGAAATTTACCCTCATCCTCTGGACATCAAGTCCAGCAACTTGGATGACAAGCAGATTGTGCTGGGAATCAGGCAAGCAAGCAGAGTCATCTCCATGGATCCATTTCCCAGAAGGAACGGGTATACAGAAATGACTTTCCTTGCTCTCACCCCTGCCACTGAAAGGATAAAAACTCCCATTTTGGAATCTACTGAAAGAATGAAGGCAGAAACCTAGTAAGAAAGTGTAAATGGATAAAAGCTGTATTTGAAATTCACAGCTTCCAGGCATAATGGGATAATGACAGTCACAAGGGCCATGTTTAATTCAGTAAAATGGTGTGCTTATCTGTTTAACTGAGAGCAGGAAAATACTTCAGATTCCTTCTATGACAAAAAAAGTCAACACTCTCAGGGACATTTCTCATTACATATTTTGCCCTTGGGTTCAGACATTCAAGTACAAAATATATGCATGTCATATAAATTATGAAAGGGACTTTTGTATAGAGCTTCCCCCCTTCAAATAAACAAAAATGAGGGGCCAAGTTCTTCCCTACTCACTGCTTGTACATACCTTAAATGGGAAAGCCTCATTTAAAGCACGCATGGTTTCATAAGCGACAGCAATTATGTAAGTTACTTTAACTATCCACTTCCCGCTTCACAACATCTCATCAGCAGGAGCTCTCAGGCATCAGCATCCAATTTCAGGTAAACGAATGTGCGAGCCTTTTACAGACCTTGTTTAATAAGCAGGGTTGCTGCAGATTCTAGTTAACAGCTAGGCAGCACACACACAAAAGCTACCTGTCTCCCAGAGTAGGCAAGAGAGGGTGTCTGAGACCTGCAAGTCTCTTGGCTCGGGGTAGGAAATGTTGTGTCCATGGACACCAATTTTGGTTTCTGCCAAGGTGTCCAACCCTTCCCACTTAATTAAAAAAAGAATCTTACTAGCAGCTGAAATACGTCTCCTCTGGTGCTGAAAACTAGGGCTTCAAAAGACTGTTTAGCAGGCTGGTGCTCAGACCACACATCTGCCTTGCATTCGGTCCTTTGGACCGGTTTCTTGTCCTTCGCCACACCTCCCATGGGAGCCAATTTATGGTGGTGCCTGGGACAATTTCTCAAATTGCCAGTGAGCCCATGGCCCAGAAAGGTTGCTTATCCCAGCTCTAGCTCGCCAGGAAGTTTGGGAAGAAGCTGCATTTTTTATCTTGGCATGCAGAAGTGAGGGAAGAGAAAATAAGGCAAAGCTCACTGAGACACGAGGAGGAGGAGAGCTTTTCCACCCCCCTACCCACAACTCCCTTTATGGCATTTCTATGAGCTGTCAAGTGTTCCTCTCCCCACAAAGTAAGCAATGTGGAAACAGCAAAATGTCGAGCCACCCTTATGCCTTATCCCAGGTGTCATGTTCATCCATAAAAGCTCACTTATTTCTAGGAGCAGGCTCGAAATGCTGCTGGTGGGAAATGCAGGCACTTCTGTCAACGAACACCAGTGACCATGACGGCAACCATTTGTCCAAACCTTAAGTGGAACCAATTTTTTTCTCAAGAACAGATGGCTGCTTGCTGAGGAATGTATATCAAAACATTTGCTCTTCTACAGAAAAAAATCACTTGAGTATTCCAGGACTGTAATAAAGTGAAGAGGTTCCGTTCTTCTAGTGTATATATAATTCAAGCCACTCACCACAGCCATGATGACTCCAACAATGGTGATAAGGAAAAATGGCACCAGAATGTAGGCCACCAAGGAGTCATGAGCAGGCTCAGCAGAAGTGGGCATGGTGGTATTACTCATGGCATAGGAAACTGTTGCTCAAGGTGGACCAGAGAAGCAGTTTCTGTCTTCATTGGGAAGTCCACCTTGCAATCACAAAAACAAACAGTTTTAAGATTAGAACACATCTGCTCACCACCACCAAACAGCTGTGCATTGTAGCTCAGTACATGCAGTCACAAGGCTGTTAAGTCACAGGCCATTATTCACATTAGATTCAGCATTATAGTTCTGGAGAACAAAATCCTTTTAGTGGTATTAGCCTTGAGGCATGATCCAGCGCTGACTGAAGCTGTGATAAAGTATCAACAGCTAAGAAATGAGGTTCTTTGCTGCTCTTCTATCAATCAATGTAGCCTCCTTGAGACAGTTTCATTCCAAAGAAACAGGCCTAAAACAAGCAGAGAAAGGAAAGACAAGAGAGGAAAGCCAGGACAGTAATACTGAAGTGTTGGCCCAAGTAGTACTTGACTGCTTCTGGAAGCAGAACCAAGCCCTGCTCATCCATCACTGGCACTCGGTGTGTCCTCAGGAGGAATAGGCAGTCGGATAGAGGGGGATCCTCCTCAAGCTGACCGGATGTCAGTTCACAAAGCATTTATTGATTTGGACCTCACCTTTCTACCAAGAAAAATGGTACTCAAGGCGGATTACAATTCTAAAACTTGATTAAATGCATTAGCATACAAGTAAAGACAAAATAAAATAAAAAACAGCATCCAACCCAACGTACATGTTCACATGTCAACAGCCTGATTACATACAAAGGTCTTTGCAGGACAGCAAAAATGGAGGGGAGTGCTGGGGGGCGGGGGGCAGTCCCACAGCCTGAAAGCAAGGCTCCTTCACAATTATGTTAATATGTTCACCCATCACTCCAAGCTGGAAAGCCTATCTTGGGTCCAAAATGTTCAGCCCCAGATTTATAGGCAAATACAGATCTTGCAAACTGGGCCAAAGAGTCTGGACTCTCAGTACATAGTCAGATATGCCCACACAGCTGATACTAGTATGTCAACTGCACCCATTCCTAGAAATCTTCCATCTAGTCACCATTAAAAAGGTAAAGGTTTCCCCTTGACATTAAGTCTAGTCATTCCTGACTCTAGGGGGCGGTGCTCATCTCCGTTTCCTAGCCGAGGGAGCCAGCATTTGTCAGCGTTTTCCATGGTCACGTGGCCGGCATGACTAAACACCGAGGTGCACGGAACGCTGTTACCTGCCCACCGAAGTGGTACCTTTTCATCTACTTGCATTTGCATGCTTTCAAACTGCAAGGTTGGCAGGAGCTGGGACGGAGCAACGGGGACTCACCCCGTTGTGCAGATTCGAACCGGTGACCTTTCGATCAACCAGCCCAGCAGCACAGCGGTTTAAACCACTGCAACATTATATACCATTTGGAGCACTGTAATGCTCCCTATATGGCACTGCCTTTGAAATGTGTTTAGAAACTTCAGCTGGTCCAGAATGCCTCAGCCAGACTGTTGACTAGGGTCAGTTACAAAAAGCATGGATGTGCTTGCTACACAGCTTCAATGGCTACTCATCTGTTTCTGGTCACCCTTCAGATGGCTGGTTATGTTCTACAAAGCCCCATACCGCCTGGGAAATACTCCATCTTCCCATAGGAACCTGCTTGGGTTTTAAGATCATTGAGAGGCCATCCCCTCGATCCTATCACCATCAGAACACTTTTTTGGAGACACAAGAAAAGGCCTTCCCAGTGGCCTTTCACAGGCTTGAAGCTCCCTGCTAAAGAAGATTAGGTGGGCTCCCTCTCTGTTCTTCTGCCAGATACTGAGTGAGATGGACCAACAGTCTGACTCAATGTAAAGAAGTTACCTATGGTCTCACAGTTTCCCAAGCGTACAATACCACATTGCTCTCTCTCTTTGCATGTTGAAGCAGCTCCTTCCAAATGCTTGATATGAGGCTACAGTTTCCCCAAAGTGACCAAATTCTTCACAAGCCTTCATCCCATATAAAACTGAAACATAGACCTTATCCAAGAAAACAAGTTCCTCATTCCTTCCTCATACAGGCTTTTTAACACATCCTTCCCACTGCCCCACTAACTTCAGCTAAGCTCTCAAGGTGTGCTTTCATGAGAAAACTGCAATTGCATAAATTGTTCCTGCAAATCATGCCTCCTTACCATGCCAGACAATTAAGCAAGAAAGGTTTTGGAAAAGGATGAATTGCTTACTTGCAGGTACATACAAAAATTCTCAGACCACAACACATTTATGCCTGCCCAATTGCACATACCAGTCCATCACAAGATGGCTTGAGCATTATGCAACCAGCAAACAACTCACTGTTTAGCAGATGCATTAATCACTCTAGGCTAGTCTTCCTAGAGTGTCCTCCATAGATATTACTGGACAACAATTTTCACAATCCTTGGCCTGCATGGCCATACTAGTTACGGAAAATGGGAGGACAAAATATCTGAAGAACCACAAGGTAGGGAAAGTCTGGACTAGACCGATTACAATGCTCCCAATGCAACTGTGTGAATTCACCATACATTACACGGTTACACATATATCTACACAATACACGTAACACAAGACATCTTGTCCAGGGTTATACTAACAACTTCCACTGCCAAGTAGCCACGCATTATTGCGTTCCATGTGGCACATCATGGCGACAAGCACTAAGGAGACATTTCCCAGGATAAAAGAACACTGTGAAGCAGTTAAACCATTCATGGAGCTATTTGCAAAGGGGAGGAGGAGGGAACAGGGTAGCAAGAGACCAAGGGAAGGTAATGCGCAGAAATTCTACTGTGGGGCTGTAGGTTATTGTGGAAAGAGCAGAAGCAATCTTACAGACAATTGTTGTCCATAGCTCAGTGACACAGCGCATGAAGAACACCCATTTCAGAAAGGGAGAAGAAAATAAAGAACCACTGTAGTTTGTGCAGCACTAGCAAATCATCAATCCCCTGTGAAGATAAAATCTCAGACGGTGCATCTATGCTGTATATACATGAGAAATTAACTTAATCAAAAGAAGGCTTTATACAGTTGTTGTCTTTGTTGTGTCTGTAACCCCAAAAACAAAACAACAGTCTGTGTCCCATTTGTATCTCAGGCTTCCACTAAGGAGCCCATGGATTGCAACATTCCATTTTATGCTCACAGTCAAAATAGCCCTGAAAATCACTGGCTAAATGGAGATATGAGCTCACATTCACACTAGCCCACTGGCACCCATTCACCAAGTCTTTGCTCTGATTTAATTAAACGTGAAGAACATACTGATAGGGAGGGGGAAGACTATATGAAACACTGTCAATTAAAATGTCAGTGAGAGCCAGTGTGATATCCAGATCTCAGTCCCCACATGGTCATGAATTCATTGGAGGATTTTGGGCCAGACACTGACTCTCAACCAAACCAACCTCACAAGGATGTTGTGATGATCAAATGTAAAGGACCATGTAGAGCACTTTGGGTTTTTTGCAAGGAAAAAAAGCAGGCAGCAAGTGTAACAGATAAATAAAATGTTTACTTTTCAACTTGTGCTGTTTTATTCTAAAGCCCCTGATCTCACCACAATCACAATTCAGTGTTCGGAGAGAACACTACCAGTTGGTTCAGAGTTAGCACTCAAGAAACCAAGCAGTGTTTTCGGGGAGCACAGCATGGAAGGGTATCATGGAATCACCCCACCACCAGCAACAACACAGTTTAAAACAAAACAAAAGACCACAAGCATGGAACCTGCAAGCACAGGATCCAGTCATTCATAGTCCTGCATTGCAATGACATAGCAGAAAACAGTCAGGTTCTGTCCCCGTAAGAAACTAAGTGGGGAAATACTATGGGTGCAATCCTGTGCATGTTTCGACAGAATGTTGTTGTTGTTGTTGTTAGTTGTGAAGTGTCCAACCCATCATGATCTCATTGACAACATTCCTCCAGGCCTTCCTGTCCTCCACCATCCCCCGGAGTCCACCTAAGCTCACACCGACTGCTTCAGTGACTCCATCTAACCACCTCATTCTCTGATGTCCCCTCCTACAATTCCCAACATGCCCCAGCCAGTAGGGCATGCTGGGAGTTCTACGCCTATTTTCCTATTTAAACTTGCATTGGATTGCGACTGCCATGCTCTTAGTCGGCTTTGGAACATGATTGGACCGGAATTTAACGATGAACAAAATAAGGTCACTTTAAGCCAATCGCCTTCAGAGTTGCTGTGGGTTCAGTTCAGAAATGTAGCTTCTTGAATCTCCGAACCTCCAAACCCACCTGCTTTGCAATCCTGCTCGCACAGCGCTCCAAACGGACAGGCACAGAATCCGAAGGCAAGTTGTAGTACTACGTACATCTTATTTAGGGAATACATCCTAGTTCATTCAACGGGACTTACTCCCAGGGAAACAGGCAAGAGGATCAGACTAGATCTGCGCAAAACACAGCACAGCGATTCGAAGGAGAGCGTTCCCAGCGTCACCTGACAAACTCGGGCCAGAATGCAGGGCGGGCCGAGTCCTACAAATTAAAAACCCAACCTCTGACTCCAAGCCGGACCACAACTTACCCCACTTCGGCACTCTCGGGGACTAGAGCAACCTCTCCCACGGCAGATTCATCGCCCTGGCCCGAACCTGTGAAAGAAACACGGTGATGCTTCCTCGCCTTGCTTTCAACGCTTCCTCCCAGCCATCTCGCTGTTCGCCTAATCGTCTTCCCCATTGGCTTTCATCGCGGCGACCTCTGTTCCTCCGTCATCCCCACCCCTTCGGTCGCTGCAGACTGGCACGCCCCCGAACAGTCCTGCGCCTCCTCACCTGCGCCCAGCTGCTCCCGCGTCTCCCGCTACCACCAGGAAGGGTCGAGGCGCGTGACAGGCAGCGCACATCAAAGTGGAAGAGCCGCGGCCAATCGCCGGCTAGGGGGAGGAGCCAGGCCCGGGGCGGACTGCGTGCTTTTCATAGGTGGGGACGGTAGAGGGCAGCAGTCTCCTACCGCAATCTGAAGGAAGACGGTGCGGAAGTGTCGGGGTTGCTGTTGTTTTCTTTATTGTTTTTCGAGACTGCTTTAACAGAAGGCTTTTTCCCTGCGCTTAGCGGTTGGTGCCACCTCCATCTTCATTTGCCACATTGTTCCCCATTTATGCTTTCATTCAAAGAAGAGTTTCAGAAGGATTTTTCCAAACTGCAGAACTGCTGAGTGGGCAACTTGAACTGAAACGAAAGTGGTGCAATTAATTTACACCAACAAATAGCATGGCAGTGGCTAGGAAAGTGATTTCCACCCAAAGGGAGGCACACTCCAGTACTGTAGAAAAGAGTAACACACAATGGCATTTAGTGAGGGTTACCAAGATTCAAATGCACAAGCTGGATGAGCAGATGGAATTTGTCTTTCCTGTCCCGTATCACAAGTGCAATCAATTAGTGGTAGATTTACAATTGATTCAAATCATTTGTCACATAATAAAGAACCAGTCCTCCAGATGTAATGATGGATGGCCAACGTTTAGGGGGCTTTCAAAGGACCTAGAGAAATTCATGGAAGGTAGGTCTATCAAGGGTTGTTAGGTATCATTTCTTCTAATAGTAAGCTTGCAAGGTTGAATCCCTACTGCTTTGTAAGGGAAATGAGAACACCCATAAGCAAAATAGTAGTTTCTACATACTTGAGTTGGGGAACTACCTAGGTGCATGGCAATGGAATTCTCCCACTTGTAAGGGCTGACCCAACACTTCTTGGCACCCTCCACCTTTTCAACATTTCCCTCCATGAGCAGGTACTCTTCAAAAGCAAGCTTTCATGGCAACTGAGAACATTTATTGCATCAGTTACTGTGGTTCCCTGACAGTTCTATAAACTCTGCAGAAATATACCCACATTTCATGGCTGCGCAGCAGATGGAAGGGAAATGTGTGCACCACTGTAACTGCTCTGAAAAGCAAAGTGAAAGAGGTGGGGGAGGAATCAGCACCATTCCTTTTTTGAGTAGGAGAGTTCGGGAAGTGTTGAAAAGGTGGAGGGCATGAAGAAGCCTCAGCAACATTTAAAACAAAGAGGATCACATGGATGGGGGGTGGGGAGGCTATTGCTTTCACCTTTTGGTGCAACTTCTTCCTTTGGATCCCCCCATTTTCAGTGGGTGAAAAAAGCCAGGGATCCAGTGGGGGGGGGGAGCCAGGGAACAAGCAGTGGTGCTTCCAGGGTGCCATTTCAGCCGTGGTTTTGCTCTCCTGCCCTGGCTCTCCATATTGGATTATTAGAATAACATCACTGGAAACTGCTAGTCTTAATCGTTTACACTTATGAAATTAATTAAATGGCAGCACTGTTACAGGGCAACAAGACCCATAATCAGGAACACACTTCTTACAAGATGAAGATACACTACAGAAAAAAAAATTATTGCAGATCCCACCTCTTGTTAACTGGATGGCATCTCCAAATTTAGACGTAGCACAGTCCTGTATGTTGTAATTAAGGGGTAGGAAAACATTGGAAGAGGACTTTAGCCTTTATTGTCTTGTAAAAGCTTCTGGTTGGTCAGTGTGGGGAAAGGTTGCTTGACGAGATTAATCCAGCAGGGCTCTTCTTAGCTTCTTATACTAGTTGCATTCAGCTCACCATTGATTCTAGTAGATTCTTGTTTCCAAATAAGGCTGCAATCCTTAGCACACTCAGAACTTCTACAAAACCAAATTAGGCCACTTTCTCTTTGCTGTAAAGGTGGTCCAATCCAATTTTTATTTATTCAGAAACCCTCTTGAACTTGAGGGGTCTTATATGTACGTAAGCACAGAACTGAAGCCAAAACTCATTATTTTCCATGCCATTCAGTGATACTTTATTTGATGTAACGTACTGTAGCAATGCCACTGGACAACAGTACGCACAAATTTATACTCAGTGATGCTGACAAGCAAATTTTAGACCCTGGACTTAAGTTTTATGGGGAGGAGCTTTATGCAGCCATATATATTACTTCATTCATGAGCACTCAAGTAATGTTTCCTTTCCCCCCATAGCTAGTTTTATATTTCTTATATGTTGCTACAACCAAAACTTTGCCAACCCTGATTAAAGAAAAAAAATCTGAGCATGCGCAACTTTGCATTTCAAAGCCATTTGAATCATAGCACCATCACAAAGCCCAACTTTGGCCCCAAAGTCCAGCCTTAGCAGCACCGTTTATACTAGGATTAAAAGGGGAAAAAACACTGTTGTTATTTAATTCATGCCGTAAGTATGAACTATTAAGATTAGCCATTTCCTGTGTTGTTCTAATGCCTCCCCTACCCTTAGCACCATTCTTGCTGACCCTGCAAGTGTTGCTTTTAGTGCCTATAAGCCTGTCCTCAGGGATGCATTGAATCCACACTCTTCTATCACCTCCATATTCATAAGACTGTAAGGGTAAACACAGTCTTTATTTGTATGTCTTTGCCTCTAGTTACTGCACTGAGCCCAACCAACCTAGAAGTTCTTGTTCAGGGTAAAGACTTAATGCCTCCCTTCTCCTCTTCCTGCTTTGCATCCACACTGTCCGGCGCCCCTTGTTTGAAGTACTTGCCCAGTCCTTCTTTCTCTTTTTGCTGGGTCCTTCCAGAATCCTGGCCAAAGGAAGTCAAGGATCCTCTATGCTCTTCTGCTGTGGCATGTAGCAGTTCTCTCTCTTCTTTCCATCCCCTCTTCTTCTCTTCCCTTCTTCCTGCTCCATCCTATTAATAGCCTGCCCTTGGTGGGCCCCAGATTTTCTTGAAGTTTCACTCGCCCCCAGCTGAGCTAGCCTACGCTTATGACTTGAGGCTTTTTCAAACAGACCTCCATTTCACCTTTATCCTCATAACAAGCGGCTTAGGTGTCTGCAACCAGAGCATGAGAATGACTTGATGAGGCTAGTCCAGTTGTTCTGCTCCAGTGCTGTTACTGAGCGCTGCAAAGGGTGCAGGCTGCATCTTCAAACACTGAATGGCTGGCTCAACAGGATCTCTTTCCATACAGCTATTTCATTGTTAGTCAACAGACCCTGTGAATTAGCGGATAAAGTGGGAGGTGGCACTAGGCTCAGCCTCACCAGGTCAGCCCCTCTACTCATCTGTTGCAAATCCTAGAATTTCATCTGAAGAAGCAAAGAATCCAGTTTCACTGTCAGAAAGAGGCCTGTGAAACATGCACTTCAGCATCGGTCTAAAACTCCCATCTCCCATGTTGTGCATCAAGTGAGATGGGGTGCACTGGAGGTGCCTAAGGGCCAGAAAAGAAAGCAGCTTTGAAGGTCCTCCCTCCAGCCACCAAAATGAAGTCCATGAACCGAAGATGGTTAGGCAGAGCTTGCAGATCAAAATGGCACTTTGGGTGTTTTCTTGAAACACATTATCTCATTTGAAAAATGTGAGTGTTGCTCATGCCAGCTATCTGTGTAAGAATCCTTGGGAAGGGAGCAAAGTAATACTCCATTTCTTTTATAGTAGCTGTGCAAAAGGGGCTTAATAATTTGTCTGCAATGCCTTCATTGGTGTCGTATATATTAAATGAAACATGTAAAACTGAAAACCTTTCTGAAAATTCACCTGGATCACTAATCCCGCTCACACTGCAGATGTATAGCGGTGGGTGCAAGGCACTTTGCACGTCACCCAAGGCATCTCTTCATCTTTATACTGATGGAAACCACTCGGGCGCTGGGAAGGTGCGAGTGGCCCTGCAAGACCTAATGCTTTCAACAAATCTATGCTCCAGCACTGAAGCTTGGCGACGAGAACAGACTGGGAGGCAAAATATTGCGAGTGCGGAAAGACGAGGTCGCTGGACAGCAGGAAGGCCGACCCAGCCCCTGGCCTGCCTTCACCGCAGGCGCTCTCCTGCATTTCGCGGGCAGCTGACGCCTAACCCAGCGGCGCAGAGCGAGGCTCCGTCTAACAAAGGCGGGCCGGCGCAGGGCCTGCAGCCGCTGGAACGCCGCGACCCCTCGTGACAGCAGCCGCCTGCCCTGCGAGAGCGCGCGGGCGGCAAGGCGCGCGCTTGCGGAAGAGCTGCCGATACTTTCGGCGGAGACGCGGCAAAGCGCTGCGCGCGCAGCCAATTGCGGCCACCGCAGGCTCGGAGGCGTGGCGTCTCCGCCTCCCCGAGGGGTGTATAAATCCCCGTTTCATGCGCACGTGCGCCGCCGGCTTTCTCGTTAGGAAACGCGAGCCGAGCCTAGCCGAGCCATGCTGGCCGCAGAACACGGAAGAGGCGCTGCAGATCGTGGCCGCCCCTCCTGTACGCACCTGGAGCTCACCAACTCTAGCTTCAGCTTCCCGCTCATTTGTTCGGGTCGGGATAGCAGCATCCGCCTGCTGCCCTTGTAGTCGCTCTCGGCCCTATCGCACTTCTGCCTTCAGCACCAAGAAGCAGCTTGGGAGATAAGATAGGACTTTGAATCGGACCTGTGCATGCCTAGAGCTGCTGACTAGCCAGTAGTGGTGCTGCGCTTTTAAATATGAATGAGTAAGTAAATGTCTTTGCCTGCCAGGGATTTGGGTCCCGTTCCAAACCCCCGGAATAAAGCCTCAAACTCTTTCAGTCTTGGTGTGTTCCTTATCTCTGCCTTTTAAGGGGCCACTTGCAAATGGGAATTGGGATCTTGCAACTGCCCCGCAATTGTGAACTTGCTTTATAAGCTCCGTAGAAAACGGTGGAGCTTGCTTGCGTGTGGTGTTTCCTGAGCTATTGCAGCCTGGCAGCCTATTTGCAGAAGTTCTATTAACAGTGCAGTCCTCCGGATGGTTACTCAGAAGGAAGCTTCATAATATTCAGTGGAGCGTCTAGCAGTGCAGCCTGCCAGGTAAAAGAAAAACAGGTTGGAAGGTGGGACATGATCCTTAAAGGACGTCAAAGACAAAGAGAACATGAGACTGCAGCTTTGGGGTGGCAAGAGAT